TAGATATATATATATATATATATATATATATATATATATATATATATATATATATATATATATATATATATATATATATATATATATATATATATATATATATATATATATATATATATATATATATATATATATATATATATATATATATATATATATATATATATATATATATATATATATATATATATATATATATATATATATATATATATATATATATAAGCAAATTATATATTGTATAATATTAATGTCGGTTGCACTATAGGATGTTGTACAAGGTTTTTATGTGTTTTTGGGCTTTTACAGATTACTCAATGTGGAATTAACAAAAAATTGCTCACCCAATTTCTACATATTGATGGTTTCATGGTTTCAGAACAAAATAATTACATAAAATTCAAATTAAGCAAAAGTATACACAATCACTTTACTAATTATGACCAAATTGAGTAAATTAATTCCATTTTTTCTTTATGTTTTTAGTACAGGCTCAATAGCTGATGGTTTTAGTTGCAATTAAAATGATTGCATTTTTTTTAACCCATCAACATTAATATTTATATTAATATAAAAAAAATAAGCTATATAATTTTATTTGCTGAGGTTTTTTTTTTTTTTTTTTTAATATATTTTTACTATTTTGATCGGATGTTTAGCCCCCATGTAAATGTTCCACGGTCGGCCCCTGCCCATCATCTATGGCCATGGCCCTTGTGGTTTGGGAATGACAGAGGTCCGGGTTTGGCGGATTCTAGACCCGAACCGTTTGGGTGGGTTTGAGTCCGAGTAATGGGCTTTCATTTTTTCTGGGTCACGGACTCACGGGTTCTACCAAAAGTATGGGTGGAAATCGGCTGAATTTCTGAATTCAGTTGATTCTGATCCAAAACTATTCGAATTTGAAATCGCTTTTTTATTTCAAGTAAATAAATTTTCGATTTCCGATTTTCCCAATTATTTTTTGAAATTGAAATTGAAATTTATCGAAAATTCTGATTCATGATCCCATTTTAATTACATAATATAAAATTTATGATACAATAAGTATCTCTATAAAATAATTTATTCCAAGTAACTAAGACTTTAGCAACACAATTTTCTATAATCGTTCTCTTCACATATATTTTTATTTATTTATTATGTTTATTTTTTTGAAATGTTTCTTATTCATATTTTGCAAGAACTATTTATGATATGTTTACATTGCATTGAACCTTGTTTAGGTTTTATTGCATCTTATTGGAAAATTTTGAAAAAATTAGGTGATAAAATCAGAAAATTCTCATTATATTTAAACTTGATATAAAAAAAAATGAATTAATGCAATTTTTGGAAATTCCAACGATTTCGAGGCATTTTGAAATTAGAATGAATTTTCAAATTCCGATATTTTTGGAATGTATGGAAATTGGAACACATTTTTAATTTTTTTTTAAATCAAAAAATTTCCGAAAAAGCCATATCCGATTCGTTCCATCCCATTTCCTCACCTAACAAGAAGCAACCCATATATTAATATATATATTTAATACACATTACCTATTAAATTCAATTAGAGTTTTCTTATTTATTTATTCCTTTATTTCTTAATAATTTGGAAGAAAACAATAATTTAATAATTTATTTATAATTCCAAATTTCTCCACAAAGCTCTCTCACAAAAAAAAAAAAAAAAAAAAGAAAGAAAGAAAGAAAGAAGTTTCTCCACACAGCATACCAAAAAAATAAAATCATTATTATATGAGTTCCCATCAGCAATCATTTATTGCTCAACAAGATCATATTAATGATAAAGAACTGCAAGTATTAAAATTTTCCCAGAGCTGTAACGTATGAAACATCAGCCATGCATGCATACGTACATTTGGCAAATGCATGGCCACCTGTCTCCAGAATATTCTCTTCCTTTTGCATCTCTATTTTTTTTTTTTATTAAACCTATTTAATCCCTTTTACACTTTTTTCTTTTTCAATCAAATAGAGTTTGAGAATTGTTCCATGCAAATATAACTTCAACAATTAATTCATCAAAATTCAAAGGAGGAGAGCTTCAGCTGTAATCTGCACTTCTGCAGCACAAGTATATTTAATTGTTCAAGGTTAGTCATCCATATATAATATGTTTTGCTTTTATATTATGATCTAATTTTGAAACTAATTCTTGTTTAAAATGAGTAATTATACCCTAATTAATTAAACTAAATTATTTAGTGTGCATGCATCTTAATTAGTTCACAATATTAGAGTAGGAGAGCGCATTGTCTAACTACCCGAGTTTGATTTCAACTGTTAATATTTTGTTTAGATCGAACCCGTTACTTTATTGTTATTTATTAGTTACTGTAGAAGAGTGAGCTAGGTCTACTCATTGCATATATATTTAAAGCACCTGAAATGTTAAATGTCGTTTTAATTTTACTAATATTGATTAAGTTTTAATCTTGAACCTAATTTCGACCCATTTCTAATTTGATTTTGGCAAAATTCAAAACATGAAAACTGTAATCAGTACTTATGCCGAATGTCGCGTCACAAAGCTATGCATAAACGAGTTACATTTTGAATTTTAGATAACTCAAAATATCAAAGTTGTGAGCAATGTTCATTGAGTCATGCATATATTTCTTATCTGACATTCAATCTTGACGATTCAAGTTGGATTAGAAAGCTACTTCAAAAAATTAGAAACTTCGTATTTTGAATTTTGATAAATTTGGACTCGAAAATGTTCAAGATGACGTTTTGAAGTCCAAGGGGTGAATTGAATTGTACTTAAAAAGGGAAGAAGAAAAAAAGACAATTTGGGTAATTTAGAATCGGACTGGACCGGCCGGTCGGACGAGTTCAACTGTGATCCGGCGGCGATGAGGCTGTCCCGTCTAACCTCTAAAACCTAAAAAATTGAAACCGGGGCCAAATGACCAAAACTCGGTTCGGCCGGGTAAAACCCGAGAACCGGCGAATCGGTCAAAGAACCCGATTTTCGGCCAAAACATCTCAAACCACCATTGAGTTCGTTTTTTGTGGCTAAAATTGAGCGAACCTTCACAAACTTAGTTGTGGATGGCCGGATATAGTCATCGATGGTCGAAACATTGTCGGATATGATCATGGAAGGTTGAATAAGGGTGAGATCTATTGTTGGATTTAGAAAATAAATAATGAAAAAAATATAAAGTGTAAAAAACAATATATATATATATATATATATATATATATATATATATATATATATATATATATATATATATATATATATATATATATATATATAACAATAAAAGTAAAAATGGGATTATGTAGATAAAAGTAAAATAATAGATGGAAGATTAAAAATAATAAATAAAATAGTATTTTTATAATGTTAAAATTAATAAAACAATAAAATATCATAAAAAATTACAAACCCAATTGAACCGGTTCAACCCTATAGAACTATGACCCAAATGGTTGCACGGTTCTATAACCGGTTCGCTTCTGACAAGATCAGGTAATACTGTTTACTCTCATAGAAAAATAAAACAATTGATGGGAGGTGTCCTTCAATTAAATCAGTCAAGGCAGAGACTTGAATACTTAACAAAACATGATAAATAATAAAATAATTAATGATTATTATATTTTATTAATTGAAAGTATTTTTAACATAAGGAATGCAAGTCGACTACGCATGTTGAATTTGAGAAATTGGAATTAATCAAGTTCCCGTCAAATACTTTCTTGTAATAATTAACGAGATAATGATATTATTAATTTTTTTAATCAATTTTTGGTTTTTCTTATGAGTAGTTTTTCCCCGTCAAATATTGAATATTAATAAATCATTATATCACCTTTATAAATTAACTACTACAACATGTTAAGTCACTTGCAAAAAGTAAATACAACATTATATTATTGCCACCAAAAACTACCTCAAATGTGTTTCAGCATATATATTTGTTTTATTTGGAGCTTGACTACCAAATTTAATGACGCAATTAAGAATAAAACATATGTTTGAATTAATCAAAATTGTTTTTAAATCTTATCTTGGACCCATAAATATTGGGTCAATTTCTTCTCTATAGAAACGTTGTTTATTGGATGGAAGTATGCCTTGACATTATGTTACACGGTACTTTGATTTTTATGCAATTTTGTGATTTTTATGATCTTTTATCTTTCATTTAATTATTTTTAACATATGGGTATTTTCGACAATTACTACGTTCTGTTAGGATTTTATTACAGCCAGTGAATTTCTTATAGGGGAGTGCTCGAAACTATCCAAACAGAGAGGGGGGTTTCGTAATTAGACCTAACCTCAAGGGTCCTTGTAATTTGCCCTAGTTCTTATAATACACGGAGTACGGTATTCCGGTTAACTATAAAAACTAACTTGAGGAATAACCTATGTATTTACAAATAGGTCCTTACATTTCCTACAATATATCAGAAGTGAATCAAACAAAAGCTCACAACAAAAGAGTAATTAATCTAATGATAATTAAATCATGCTTCACCAAGATGCTGCATCCTGGATAGAATATACCTGATTCCTCTACAATGCTTTTCTCTTTTGTTGCACAACAGTTAAAAATGATCAAAGGACAACTTATTCATATTACAAGATCGGCCGCATAAATTAATGTACGATAATCTTTTTCGAATTTCTAAGAATATACCAAGCCAAAGATCCCAAGTCTTAATCCAGATACCGAAAACAAGGCTTTTAATAATCAAATCCACCAAATTTTACCAGAAAAAGAAAATGAACTTTTTTTTAGCCGTATGTAGTGATAAAAACATACGTGTGACGGACAAGTATTGATCATCTAAATTCTAGTAATCAGATCTGATTTATTTGCCTATACGAGTCTACGTTCAAATCAAATTTAAAAAAAAAAAAAACAAATTAACAGTAGGTATTGATTTTCTTCTTTCATGTTTCTAAGGTTGTCCTTTATTTTTTCTGCAAGAAATTCTACGTAGTCATAAGACATTGTCAAAGTGTAGAAAATACTTTTCCTTCTCTAAATAATCTCTTACTGGTGATTCAGTAGATTCCAAAACTCAGTAATGTATACGACCTGAATATATATATATATATATATATATATATATATATATATATATATATATACACGAAAACTTCATCGTAGACTTTGTCAAGATTAAGGATAATTATTAGGAAAATAAATAATTAATAAAATTTGACCATCTAGATGCCGTATATATGCATGTACTAGGTTATTTCACTATGCTTCTGCTATATAAACATGTCGAGCTTTTCAGTCTCTTTCTCACAATTATAACACTTCATAAAAAATAAAAATAAAAATAAAAACAAAAACTAACACCGTTTCTTAATTCCGCTTATCGTCTAGCCATAGCACGAAAAGTAAGCAATTGTTGCTTTATTCTTGATTCTTAATTTTCTTCTTTTTCAATTTCATTTGAAAATTCTTCACGCAAATATTCAACAAAACTATCTGCATGTTTTCTACTAATTGGATTATATACATGCATTTTGTATTATCTTCAACTAAATGGCTTTAATTTAAAAATTTGTTACCTACAGAGTGGAAAAAGCCTCGGAAAAAATGGACGAAAAATCGGTGGACGATAAATTCTCGAAGATGCACCCTTGCTTTCCTCCACGAACAAGGATTGCAATAATCGGAGCGGGCCCCAGTGGACTCTCGGCTGCTTATGCACTATGCAAATTAGGCTACTCCGATGTAACTGTGTTCGAAAAACATCATTCACCTGGTGGAATGTGTGAATCAGTTCAAATCGAAGGTAATAATAATCTGCCGGAAAGAAAAAAAATATCCACTGAATATTAGACTTTGGAATATTTTTTAAATTAACAATTTGAACATAGGAAAAAAAAAGATTTAATTAAAAAAGTTCGAATTAATGTGTTCTAACAGGAAGGATTTACGATTTGGGAGGTCAAGTTCTTGCAGCAAACAGTGCTCCGTCTATATTTCACTTGGCTAAAGAAGTCGGTGCAGAAACTGAGGAAATGGACACACATAAATTTGCACTTATTAACAGTTCAAATGGAGCTCTCACCGAAATGAAGTTAGTCGAAGATTATGTATCCATGATCTCTCTTACACTCAAACTCCAGGTCAGCACATCTTCAGACACACACAGACAAAAAAAAAAAAAAAAAAAACTGTGATTTTCAGCTATTTGTAAATTTCTGCAGGATAAGGCTAAAGAATCGGGTCGAATTGGAGTACACGCAGTGAGTGAAATTGCCTCCGATTTAACTCCCGATTATCTAAAAAATCAAGGATTTCCTTCGGTGCCTAAATCAGTAATATACGGATACACAGCATCTGGATATGGATACGTGCAAGACATGCCTTACGCATACATACACGAGTTCACAAGAACATCCATGGCTGGAAAAATCCAACGGTTCGAAGGCGGTTACACGAGCCTATGGAATAAGCTGAGTCAAAGGCTGCCAATACAATTCTGTTCCAACACAGAAGTACTATCAGTTAAACGCAATTCATCCGAAATCAAAGTTGAATTCAAAACTGAGAATGGCGGTGTAAAATCGAGAGAATTCGATAAAATTATTATCTCCGGTGCTTTTCCGTTTATCAGTGGAAATACTTACAGATCACCTTCACCGAACACATCAGGTATATACATAGATATATCATATATGTTACATTTTATTATAACACAAAAAGTTAGCTAATTGCTTTTCTCTGTGCAGATACTGCGAATAATAACCGTATTGACTTAAGCGAGCTGGAAAAAGAGTTGTTCAGTAAAGTCAAAACCATTGACTATTACACCACTGTCTTGAATATAAAGGGATTTGAGCATATTCCAAAGGGTTTTTATTACTTCGACGAATTTATGAACGATCCATCTACTATAGGCAATCCTGTTGCAATGCAGAGATTTTACGGAGACACGGATATTTTCCTGTTCTGGTCTTACGGAAACTCGGCTAATATTCAGGAACACGAGGTTGCTGAGCTGGCAATTTCTGCGGTCAAAAGAATGGGAGGTGAAGTCGAAAGAGTGATTTTACAGCGAAAATTCAAGTACTTCCCACATGTGAAAAGTGAAGGTAATTTGTATTATTATCTTGTAATAAGAAAGTTCACTTTTTTTCGTTCGGACAGTGTACTAATTTCGGGAAAAAAAAACAGATATGAAGGAGGGGTACTATGATAAGCTGGAATTTCTACTACAAGGTCAAAGAAACACCTACTTTGTTGGTGGACTAATGGCATTTGAGCTGACTGAGAGGAATGCTAGTTACGCATTTGACCTCGTTCGAAAGCATTTCTCTAACGATAATCAAGAACCGAGCTATCCCTATGTCAAGGTAATAATAACATATTTTATTACAGCATGGATATATAGATTAGTTTAGGCATTGATTTTAACAACGCATGCTCATGCAGAGATTACTGACATTGAAACCGAACAACGGAGGCTCAGTCGTTCCCAGACAATTGGACGAATCGCCAGGTGTCCAGTTTCCAGAACTTTCCACCCTCGACGCATACTTGAAACATTGGGGAACCCATAGTGTAACTCAAAGCAAGACACTGTACACATGGATCAACGAGAAGGGGCAAATCGTAGCACAAAGAACGTACAAAGAACTTAACTCAAACGCTTCAAAGATCTCCGAAAAACTAACGAGCTGTAACAACCCGACAATCAAAACAGGCGATAGGGTTCTCTTGGTTTATATACCTGGCCTAGATTTCATCGATGCCTTCTTCGGTTGTTTGAGAGCCCGTGTAATACCCGTGCCCGCAATTCCACCCGATCCGCTGCAGAAAACCGGGCAACAAGCACTTCTCCACATTTCCAACATTTCCAAAGCATGCAATGCAGTTGCCATATTATCAACTGTTAGTTACCACATCGCGGTCAAGGCTTCTTCGGCAAGAAACATGCTGTCCCTTAAGGGAAAAGACAAAAATACCCCTCGCTGGCCCGATCTGCCGTGGCTCCACACCGATTCTTGGGTGAAGAAATCAAGAATCACCATGCAAAACGGCTACAATGTTGACAAGTACGAGTCTTTGCCTCGTGATTTGTGCTTCCTGCAGTTCACATCGGGGTCCACAGGAGAGCCGAAGGGAGTTATGATAACTCACGGTGGAATAATCCACAATGTGAAGACGATGAGAAGCCAATACAAGAGCACCTCGAATACGGTACTTGTGAGCTGGCTGCCACAGTACCACGATATGGGACTCATCGGTGGCCTTTTCACTAGCATGGTCAGTGGCGGTTCCGCAATTTTGTTCTCTCCGACGGTGTTTATCCGGAACCCTTTATTATGGCTGCAGACTATAACCACGTATCGCGCCACACACAGTGCGGGCCCCAATTTCGCGTTCGAGCTGCTTATTCGTAGGCTAGAAGCCGATGAAAAAGGGCAGAAGTTCGATTTGTCTTCGATGGTTTTTCTCATGGTTGCTGCAGAACCAATCAGAGCAGAAACTATGAGAAGGTTTCTGCTGCTGACTCAGCCTTTCGGGCTCGATCGGGGGGCCATGGCCCCCGGCTATGGATTAGCAGAGAACTGCGTTTACGTGTGCAGTGCGTATGGAGAAGGTGAAGAGATGTTGGTTGATTGGAATGAACGAGTTTGCTGTGGCTACATTGATAACAATGATGATGAAGTTCAAATCAAGATTGTTGATCAAGAAACGGGCGAAGAGTGTGAAAAATCGGAAAAAGAAGGGGAGATTTGGATTAGTAGTCCAAGTAGTGGAGTTGGATACTGGGACAATGAGGAGTTGACCAAAACGACCTTCGAAAACAAACTGAATAGCGCCCATGGCAGGAAGTACATTCGAACGGGGGATTTGGGAAGAATCGTGGACGGAAAGTTGTTCGTCACGGGCCGTATAAAGGATCTCATAATTGTTTCTGGAAGGAATATATATTCGTCAGATATCGAAAAAACCGTCGAGAATTCGTGCCAGCTAGTACGCCCTGGATGCTGTGCTGCAATCGGTGTTCCGAAGGAGATACTTCTATCGAAAGGGAATATTCCATTTCCGGAAACTTCCGATCATGTTGGATTGGTGGTGATTGCCGAGGTTCGAGAAGCAGTCAAGTCCGGTTTTAAGGAAGCTGTTAAACGAATTCAGGCATGCGTTGCGGAAGAACATGGGATCATTGTCTCCTCCGTTATTCTGATCAAACCGAGGACCATTAGCAAGACGACATCCGGCAAAATTAAACGGTACGAATGTCTTCAAAAGTTTAAAAACGGAACTTTCGATGTCGTTCATCAGTCCAACGGAACTGTATCGGAAAATCGAGCCGAGAAAAATAATCATCCAATTCCGAATTCTGATATAACAAAGAGTGACATAGTGAACTTTCTGATCGAGCTTCTCTCTCAAATGACCGGAATTTCTACAGCAAAAATCTCCACCAATGAAAGCCTTGTATCTTATGGGGTGGATTCCATAGGTGTCGTTCGAGCCGCTCAAAAGCTCTCCGATTTTCTTGGAGTCCCAGTTGGCGCAATCGACATATTCACAGCGACATGCATCGATGACCTGGCGAAATTTTCAGACAACCTATTAAAGAAGTCTCGTCCTAAATCAGCAAAAACGAAGGCGAAAGTACCATCAACAAAAACAACCTTTTCCGAAGCTTCTTCGTCAAGAAAGCTGCAAATCTGGTTCATGCAAATCTTAGCACTTGCTTACGTTTGCTTCTTGCTGATTTTTCCCGCTTACCTCTCGATTTCCGCCTTTACGTATTCTTACAAGCCACAGAAAAATACATGCACTGCTTACTTGATTAGCCTATTTTGTGCTCCGCTTTCTTGGATGCTGTGCCTTTTCTCGACATGCATTAGCATATCCTTTTTGGGGACACCATTTCTTCAGACAAACTACGCCTTATTTCCCGAGGTTTCGATTTGGTCTACCGAATTCGTGAAGTGGTGGGCCCTGCACAAGGCTGAGGAGGTTTCTTCGAAAGTTCTTGCAGTTCACTTAAGAGGCACTGTGTTCCTCAACTACTGGTTCAGAATGCTGGGAGCTAAAGTCGCCTCGTCAGCATTAATCGACACCATCGACATCACGGATCCATTTCTAGTTTCGATCGGAGAAGATGCTGTGCTGGCAGAGGGAGCGTTAATCCAAAGCCATGAAGTGAAAAATGGAGTTTTGAGTTTCTATCCAATGAGAATCGGATCAAGATCTTCGGTGGGGCCCTATGCTTTGCTTCAGAAAGGCGTCGAGGTACATGATGGAGACGAAGTACTTGCCCTCACAACTGAGGTTAGTACTTCTGATGTGGATCATTTCCAAAAGGGTAAAATGGGAAAACAAATCATCAGCAAAAACTGTGGGAATTATGCCATGGTAATTCACTTTCTCGGTATATATACAATCGGTTTTCTTGGCAGTTTATCGGCGGCGGTTTCTTATTTCGCCTACCTCTATATAATGCAAAAGCCTCCTATTATGCATCACTTTGCATTCATATCTGTTTCTGGAGCATTTCATTGGCTACCTTACACCATAGTTGCATATATAGTAATACTCGATTCTGCCCCTTCAAATCCGATCGCCTTTGCAATCTCCATAGCCACAGCTTACACAATTTACGGCCTTGTCCTCAGCTTTTTCACTTGCTTCCTCAAATCATACTTAGAAAAAAATCAAGACTTGTCCGAAAAACCCTTCCGAAAATGGCTAATACACAGAATTTTGACATCATGCCACGTCAGATTCGCGAAATTCATCTCTGGAACAGAAGCTTTCTGTTTTTATCTACGCCAAATGGGAGCCAAAATTGGTAATCATTGTTCGATCAGAGCTATTAATCCCATTTTAGACCCGGAGCTCGTTTCACTAGCCGACGGTGTTGATTTAGGGGACTTCAGCCGTTTAATCCCAGGTTATTACACCTCAAAAAACGGCTACTTTTCAGGCGGAATCGAGGTACAAGACAATGCTGTAATAGGGAGCCAAGCACTAATCCTCCCTGGTTCGGTTCTTGAAAAATACGTAATTCTCGGTGCACTTTCGGTTGCTCCGGCGAACAGAATCCTCCACAGTGGCGGTGTTTATGTTGGTTCTCCATTTCCTTCGATGGTGAAGAACACTACCCAAAGTTTCGACGACAGAATCGAAGAAATGGACACGAAATATCGAAAGGTGTTAGGAAATCTCGCAGCAAATTTAGCAGCCACAACCTTAAAAGTAAAATCGAGGTACTTCCATAGAATCGGTGCAGCTGGCAAGGGATTTTTAAAGCTTTACGATCACCTTCCGAAGAATCTCCCACATCATAGAATATTCTCAACGGGGAAGGAATATTCCATCATCCTTCGGCACAGCAACTGCTTGAGCTCTGACGACGACGCACGCCTCGATCCACGTGGTGCAGCCATACGAATAACCACTGAGGATAATTCCCCATTGCTCGATTTAACCTTAAAAACTGGCAATGCATTTCATGCACGGACAATAGGGGACTTCGCCACGTGGCTAGTCTGTGGGGCAGCTGCGCGAGAGGAGCATGTGAAGCACTATCCGCACATTCGTGACGCAATGTGGGGATCTTTGAGGAGAGCCGATTCTTACACCGAGCTTCACTATTACTCGAACATCACACGGCTTTTCCGGTTCGAAGATGGCCAAGAAATGTACGTCAGATTCAAATTGAGGCCGTTCGATAAGAATATATCAGAGGAAAATGGAAAAGTGGAGCCCACAGGTGTACTTCCGCCAGAAACTGGGGCTATTCCGAGAGATGAAAACGACAAACGCCCTCTGCTTTTCCTGGCCGATGATTTTAAGAAACGGGTGGATTCTTCGGATAAAGTTCGTTATGTTCTTCAGCTGCAAATTCGACCAATCACAAACGACGAAAGGGAAAGGGAGATTGCACTCGACTGTACAAGGCCATGGAACGAAACGGAGTTCCCACATTTCGATGTGGGAGAGATTACAATCGAACGAATCCTGACCAAAGAGGAATCCGAAGAACTCGAGTTCAACCCTTTCCTTAGATGCCACGAAATCGATGTCATAAGGGCTTCGTCTTGTAGTGAAAGTGCATCAATGGATCACGGCCGTTCATTAGTGTACTCGATCTGCCAACATCTTCGAAACAAGAAACCACTTCCTCAAGCATGGAGGGCTTTCTTGAATCAATCCGACGTGAAAATCGACCTCTCGGGCTGTCCAATGGCAGCTCAAAAACTCGAGAAAAGTGTCGATACAGAAGTGGTGACATTAGCGAGGCCATGGTACGTGACATTGTGGATGATGTCAGCTCAGCCGTTTCTGCAGATTTTTCTACCATACTTCCTCATGGGGCTAGTGATTTTTCCACCGATGAAATTCATCTTCCACCAGAACAAGATCAGTAAAACAGAGCACATGCATTTCTTGCTGCCACTTTTCTGGATTTGCTCGGGCGTTTTATCAGGGCTCGTTTGCGCTATATGTAAATGGATTCTCGTGGGTAAGAAGAAAGAAGGCGAAAACGAACCGATATGGAGTGTGGGGATATTCATGGACACTATTTGGCAGGCTGTAAGAACACTGGCTGGCGACTATTTCATGGAAATGACAGGCGGCACGTTTATATTCAACGTGTGGATGAATCTAATGGGATCGGAGGTTGACAGAGGCGCTTACGTGGACACCATGGGAGCTGTGTTAAATCCTGAACTGGTGAAGATAGAAGAGAATGGCTCTGTGGAGAGAGAAGCTTTGCTGTTTGGACATATATATGAAGGCGAAGGGGGTAAAGTTAAGTACGGAAAAATCGTCGTTAAGAAAGGCGGATTTGTCGGGAGCAGAGCAGTGGCAATGCCGGGAGTTACTGTGGGTGGTGGTGGTGGTTGCTTAGGTGCTCTGTCTTTAGCTATGAAGGAAGAGTTTGTTAACTAAGTTATGTTTCTTTTTTGTATTAGTATTTCCATCTTTCAACAAGTAATTCCATAACTGTTTGTGCTTTTGATTTCATAAGAAAATCAATTGTCTGAACACAAAAAATATTCAGGTACTATCGCAAAATCGAAGATCATCATCACAATTATACCAAATTCAAATAAGCCAAAAAATGAGAAGAAACGATTATCGAACAAACACAAACGAGAAGCTGAAATCACTTACCTCAGTTGCTAAAATCACTTTTTTTCCATTCTGCGCGGTTTTAATTTTCGTAGTGCCGTCACTGCCTTCTTCATCTTCGAGCGTATGAGCTTCTGCATCGGAAATCTCATCTTCACGCGGCTTCTGTAATCTGTGATCTTCATTTCCATAATTGAAAATCTGATCACACTTTGTTGAAAAATGGTAATTGTGCCCTAATTAGTCTGATTGAAAACATTCCCCCATTCATCACACGCATTTGGAGAAATTTGTTTTATATCACGAAACAGAAATTTGTATCACAAAATGCCCATTTATTGTTGTGGCCTATTTTTTGGATCTAATATACATACTAAAAGTTATTTAGGGGCTGACATGTAATAAATATATAAATATATTTATAATTTGTTTTAATTAAATAAATTGGAATTATCTGGAAAATGGGCCTTTTTAAATTCTAGTATTATAAAAAAAAACTATTTTAACTGGTCAAACTAACAGTGGTGTTAGATAAAAGGAATTTATTTTTGTTGTTCACATCCACCCTGACATTTTTCTCTGATTTTCTCTCTCACACACAAACACACACACAAATACACTTGCTTACATAGATTACATTATACCCACCACAACACTTGACACCCTACACTTCTCTACAGAATCTATAAACCCAATCAACAAATCTCTCTCTTCACGTTTCTCATCCCTCTCTCTCCTCTCTCTCTCTCTCTCTCTCTCTCTCTAACGTTTCTGAACTATCTTGATCTGGGTTTTTTGCAGTCATTTCCAAGATCACATTTTTTTTCCAGCTTCAAATCCAATTCTCGCGATTAGATATTAATCTTGATTCTGAGCTTTTTTGGTGGTTCCCGGAGTATCTGGTCGGCGGCGCGTGGTTTAGCAGATTCACTCTTATGGATTTCTCGGTGAGTTTCTTATTTAGTTTCATTTGTACTGTTATGCAGGCATAGAGGTGGAAGACGAATGTTTATAATCCAACGGCTCTCATTACTCCGTGGATCTGTATTTTCAATCGTTTTGATTGATTGGTTCAATCTTGTTCTTGTAAAATATTGTTTCTTGATTTCACGGTTCTCTCTGTTTTTATCTACTACTAAAGATTAAATAATAGACTTTGTGTTATGAGAAAATTACAAATCAAGTAATTCTAATATGAATTACTGTTCTTAGCATGTTTCAAGATTGAAATTTGAAAGTAAAGTGAAAAATGGTGTTTTCTTGATTTCGTAGTGCTCGGCCTCGATTCGTCGGTTGTGTTTTCGTTTATCGTTTCCTCGTATTTTTTTGATGGCCCTGTCAAGTATTCTAATTTGAATTACTATTCTTAGCCTGTTTCAAGATTGAAAGTAAAGTGAGAAATGGTGTTTTCTGGATTTCGTAGTGCTAGGCTCGTTCGTCAGTTGTGTTTTCGTTTATCGTTTCCTCGTAATTTTTTCGATGGCCCTTTACTCAAACGGGTTTAAAGCGATTAACCGTATTGAATCTGTCTTTGTAGATGGAGGTTTTCGATGGTTTATATCTGTATCCAGTGACGTAACATTTGATCTGCGGTTATTTTGTGGCAGAAATATCGAGGACATTAGTGATATTTTTTCTCGATTCGAAGAAATAATGAGGGGTAGAGCAAAGGGAAAGAAGCTATCCGTGACGAACCAAGACGATAACGGGAGTGGCGAGGAAGAAAAGATACCTGTACAGAAGCGAAGGGGAAGACCACAGAAGCCGCTTAAAGACGAGATATCCGATGAAGAAGCTCAAAAGCTAGAAGATGAAGAAGACAGTGACGGCACTACGAAAATTAAAAATGGGAAAAAACGGAAAAGAAATAATAATAATAATGCAACTGAAAAAGTGAAGGAAAAAGTCGAGACGGTACTGAAAGAGGAAAATGGAAACGGGGAGAGACCGAGCAATGAGGAGTCGAGCAAAAAATCGATTGGTTTTCGGCAAAACGGGAATAGGCGAAAGAGTAAGCCTCGTAGAGCTGCCGAGGCTGTTGTTGAATGCAACTGAGGGAAGTGATTTTCTTAGCTTCTTGTTTTTGGTTTTGTTCGATTCGATTCGTTTCTTCTCATTTTTGGGCTCATTTGAATTTCGTGTACTTGTGACGATTCTTTTGCAGTAGTAACTGAAATTTTTTATGTTCAGACAATTGCTTTTTAGTGATTCTTGCAAGAAATGTACTTGTGATATTATCTTTGCCCCTTCAAAAGCACAAACGGAAGTTGGTAATTACGAGTTAAGTTAGTAATAAGTGCTTGTATTTAAAAGTTAGGGGTGTTTGCAATTTCCGATGTTCGTACAGCCTGCCAAATAGTGTTCCATAAATATCCCCACACTCTAAATCGGTTCGTTTTCACCCCGATAAACGCCCAAGCATATCCAGAAAAAGGGCAGCAAGAAATGCATGTGCTCCGTTTTACTAATCTTCCTACGCCGACTTCTTTAGCCAAGTGAAATACAGACGGAGCACTGTTTGCTGCAAGAACTTGACCTCCCGAATCGTAGAACCGTCCGGTAAGTACACGCATGCATTTAACTAAATATGTTTTTATTTCTTTCGAATTTTAGTTTTTTTTACATATTATACTACCTTCGATTTCAACCGATTCGCACATCCCTCCGGGGGAATGATTTTGTTTTTTGGAAAGACAGTTATATCGGAGTAGCCTCATTTGCAAAGTGCGTAACCAGCAGAGAGTCCACTGGGGCCCGCTCCGACTATCGCAAGAATACTAATCGAAGCACGAGAATCCAACAACTTTATTCGAATGAAGTTCAATACAAAAACACACACAAATACAACATTTAAAAATTACAAAAAAAATATAATAATAAAAAAAACCTAATTAACTAACTAACAAAAGATGTAGGATCTGGAGGAGCAGGTACTTGAACAGATCCTTCAAGCATATGCATCACCCTCTTCATATGAGGCCTCAATGCTGGATCCTCCTGCACACACCAAATCGCCACCATCACAAATCTCTCGAACCGTTTCAAATCATCCGCCGCCACCTCATCATCCGCCGCTAATGACCGAATCGCCCCTCCTCTGTAACAATCGTACGCCCAGTCAGCAAGAACCACCTTCTCATCTTCAACATCCGGCAAAAAATTCCTCCGACAGCACAATAACTCGAGCAACAATATCCCGTAACTGTAAACATCCACTTTCACCGTTATCGGCATGTTTCGAAACCATTCGGGCGCCACGTAGCCTCGAGTCCCTCTTATGCCTGTGTTGGTTCTTGTTTGATCTGCTCTTAGGAGTTTTGCTAGCCCGAAATCGGATATTTTAGCCACGTGGGACCCGTCGAGAAGCACGTTCTGAGGCTTGATATCGCAGTGTATGATTTGCGTGGTGCACTCTTCGTGCAAATAGCAGAGCCCTCTTGCTGTTGCGAATGCTATCTGCACTCTTCTGTACCAGTTGGGCGGTGATGGATTTTCGAATAGGAAGTTGGCTAGAGAGCCGTTGGGCATGTACTCGTAAACTAAAAGACGGTTTTGCCCCTCGTCGCAGTACCCCAGGAGCCGGACGAGGTTCTTGTGGTTTGTCCTGCTGATTGAGCTCACTTCGGCTTTGAATTCTTGATCGGCTTCTTCGGCGATCTTGGTCAGCTTTTTAACGGCCACGAATGTTACATTTTCGCCCTCGTTGAATGTCCCTTTGTACACTGTTGAGCAAGCACCGCTGCCTATTTCTTCGTTGAATCCATTTGTAGCTTCTTTTAGCTCATCAAAACCGAAGCTTCTCATGCTCACTACTCCTGCTGGAACTGCAGTATACGCTCGGATAGCTGTCTTCGATTTTCTTGCCCTGTAACAAAACACGAGGAACAGTACAAAAGAAAGAAGAATCAAGTTCAGAAAAACCGAACTCCCCAACAAAACGGACCCCATTCTGATCAAAGCTGATCGGTTACTACTCTTTCTTGAATTACGGCCAGAAGGGTTCGGATCTGTGGCGGTGTCGTTTCTCCTTGAGAACTTTACCAAAGCCTTCCCACCGATGCTAGAATCGGTCTTCCCATTTGAAAGAGGCGTTTTCTTCTTATAACAACCATTGTCACTATAAATCGCAACCGCACAAAAGCAATCGCTAAGGCAATCCTGCCTGCACGAATCCTCACTCACAGATTGAAAAGAAGCGTAGTCGGAAGTTTGCCAATCCGTGTTAGGCATGTCGTCGAAGCTGAAAACATCCGCATCTTCCCGCGAACTATTTCTATCGCAGCTCTGCGGAACAAAATCTTGTTTGCATCCGCTCATCCTGTCGTTCGGATCGATCGGGGAGTACGCGAAAGGGCACACGCAGTTCGGCCTCTGATCGGTACCCAACGTGCAGACGCTATTGTAACCACAAGCACCGAATCCTCTATCGGAAGCAATTCTGAGACATATATTCGAAGGCTCGAACTCATTGACGGACCACGCCATCGGCCTCCCGCCTGTTGCATTGGCGAATTTCGGGTACACGTAATGCCTGAGTACCCCGTCGTAGTCCAGCGTCAATCGCTGGTGCAATAGGCTCGTTGGAGCTCCGTTGGACGACAGCGTGTTGAGTATAGTCCCGTTTCTTGCGGTGAGATATATGTATCCCGATTGGTTGAAGATCAACCGAAAGCCGGTGCCGACGGTGTTCGTCGCGAAATAGGCGTAAACGTGGTCTTCGTTCGGGAAGTTAATGGTGTACATGACAAGATTTCCATCAGCTTGCATTATGAGCTTGAATCTACCTATGGAGTGATTTGTGTCGGAAAAGCTGGCAAAAATACTACCACCTTGATCGAGTGTTTGGGATGGTAGCAGTGTGTCGGTTGGCTCGTCGAAACTCCGCCACGTGACGGCGGAGGAGTTGGCTGCGAGAACGAAGTCGCCGCTGTCGAGCATGGCGGCGTAGGCCACGCCGGAGGTGGCTGGACTAGCAGCCCAGATCCTTCGGCCGGCGGTTGGGTCGTTGAGTTCGAATCTGCCGTCGGAAGAGAGTTGGATTGTCGATCCTTGTTGGGCTAGATTGTTACGGTTGGCCGACCAAATAATGGTTCTCTCAGGCATTTCGTCGAACCAGATTGCGAGCAAGTAGCCTCCGGGGTAAACTTGCCGGAATCCGAAAGCGAATTCGCCGGAAGGTGATTTCCATGTGGAGTTTGAACTGTCAGCGACTAGGGATGAACCAAGAGTAATATTGCCGCCGCCGCCGCCGCGGGGGGACTGGGCGGTGGCGGAAATTGGCAGCAGAATGATCACGGCGGCCATGGTAAAGAATGATAGTTTGCATGAAACTCCAAAACCCATTTCGTCTCTCTCTCTCTCTCTCTCTTTCTCTCTCTAGAATCGATCACGAAAGCGATGAGTAATTGGAAAGATTTCACTGGTTTTTCATACCATTAATTGGAAGTCTTGGTCTCTGAAAATTAATAAAAAAAAAAAAAAAGAAAAAAAAAAGTGACTAAGTCATCTTTTCTTTGATTGACTGTTGTGGTGTAGGAATGAGACAGGAGTGAACAATGGGCCAATGACTTATGAGTCGTCGAGCGTTGACTTGGAAGAATCTTCTGATAAATTGCTAATTATTTTAATATATTATTATGTTTAGAATTTGATATGTAAGCATTACTACTATTAATGTTCTACCATAGTATTTTCAATTTTCAATATATATATATACATATCAATAATATTTTAAGATAAATTTAGTGAAATGTTCTCTATACTAACTAGGGGTGGAAACTGAGATGGAATTTTTAAATTTCGAAGATTTTATTGATTTTTACTTTAAACGGAATTAGAAAACTTATTAAATTATGATTCTCATTTTTTTAAATTATGACTTTTTTCTTTCTTGGAATAACACACTTATTTGTAAAAAGGGGACAACTATTTTGAATACTAGTTTTTGCTTAGTTGAATACCAAAAAAATAAAAAATAAATAATTAATTGTAAATTACTTTAATACCCTTAATGAAAATTAAAACCAAAAAATATTACAAATACTATTTTTCTTTCTTAAAAACCAAATAATCAAAAACCTAAAAAAAACATTTCCCTCATCACTCACAAACCCCTCACCTCCTTCTTCTCCCTCCCCAAAAACCCTCCTAAAAAACCCCAAAACAAAAGAAATCAAAACCTTACACAACTTGCAAAATGGCCTCAAATGACAATAGAATGGTAGTTTACGAGCAAGGAGAACCCACTCAGGTATGTATTCATGTATTTTTTGAGCTAAAACATCGATTTTGAATTTTTTTTTTTTAAAACTCGCCATGTATTTTCAACACATATGTGTCGAAAATCCCCTTCACTTTCGACACTTAGGTGTCGAAAGTGAAAGGTATTTTCGACACTTAAGTGTCGAAAATATGGGTAATTTTCGACACTTTAGTGTCGATTTTGTTCCTGTTGCAAATTTACTTGTCTTATATTTTCGACACTTTTGTGTAGATCGATTGCACCCATTCATTTACCACGTCAGAAAAATTCCCAACAAAAGAAGCTTTAATGGCATGGGTTCGTGAAGTATGTAAAAGAATTGGAATGGTGTTAATGATTGGGGGTTCGAGTGACGGGGATAGAGGACGTAGGACACCGTATGTGATTGTTCGTTGTGAGCGTGGGGGCCATTATGTTGGCAAGAAGGTACCAGGTGAAGATGATCAAAGACCGGGAAAAAGGAGCACCGGTTCAAAGAAATGCAATTGTCCGTTTAAATTGAAGGGGACAAGAGAACACAAGGATGATGAAAAGGCTGAGTGGAAATTGGATGTTAGTTGTGGTATTCACAACCACAACTTATTCGAAAACTTGCACGGACACTCTTATGCCGGAAGATTATCAAAGGAGGATGTTTCCTTTGTTCACACTATGAAGAAAACAATGGTGAAACCAAGGGCAATTCTAAGAGCATTGAAGCAAAAGGACCCGTCTAATGTAACTGGTATGAAGACAGTTTACAATACTATCTCTAAGTTAAATTTCAGTGAATTGGATGGGAGATCTCAATTTCAATCATTGTTTGTCAAGTTGAAAGAAGATGAATACCTCTCGTACCATAGATCGAACGAGTTGAATGCGATTACCGACTTGTTTTGGATCCACCCGAAATGCATTAAGTTGGCACAGTCGTATCCGTACGTATTCGTCATCGATTGCACGTACAAGACCAATCGTTACGGACTCCCATTTCTTGAGATTGTGGGTTTTACTTGTACCAACAAGACGTTCTCAATTGCCTTTGCTTACTTGGACCACGAAAAGACGGAAAATTTTGAATGGGCGTTGCGTTGTTTGAAGGAGGCCATGACCAGTTGTCCTCGGCCTAAGTGCATTGTAACAGATCGAGATTTGGGTTTAATGAAAGCAGTGGCCAATGTGTATCCATCGAGTCATCACTTGCTGTGTCGGTGGCATGTGAACAAGAATATAGTGGCCAATTGTAAGAAATTGTTCCCAAAGGACATCACCAAATGGAAGCAATTTCAGTCGAGTTTTTCGGCTCTTATTGAAAGAAATACCATAGAGGAGTTCAATGAGGATTGGGAGGATTTGAAAAGAACATTTATGGGTTATCTCCCGGCTATAGAGTATGTAGCTAATTCATGGTTGGATCCGTACAAGGAGAGACTTGTATCGGTGTGGACAAATAAGTATACTCATTTTGGAACGTACACTTCTAATAGGGTGGAGGGGGCACACGGACGAATGAAAAGGGATGTGCGTAATTCAACTGGCACATTTGTGGATTTGTATACGAAAGTCCACAATCAAATTGTCGAACAACACAATGACATCAAGGCTTCCTTTGAAGTAAGTAAAAATACTTACGAGCACACTTTCAAAACGTTGATATACAATGAGCTTCGTGGAAGTATCTCAAAATACGCTCTGCAACTACTCAAAGTTGAGGTGGACAATGCGAAACTATTGCAACCGAGCGATATGGGTTGTAGTTGCGCCATCCGAACAACCCACAGTCTACCATGTCGCCATGAACTTCATGAGTATGTTGTTGTGAACAAATGTCCTATCCCACTTGAGTTAATAGGCTCGTATTGGAAACACATGAGTATGGAGCCCGTCGCGACCACATGCCAAGTCATCCTACCAACCATCGACGAAGAATTATCGGAATACCAGAAGCTCTTTGAATGTGCCGATCTCGATGCAAAAACTCGATTGCGCAACCATTTGAGACATTTTACCCACCCAGAGAATACTAACCTTACGGAGCCAAGTGAAAAAGTTATTAGCAAAGGTCGACCGGCAAAAAGTAGGAAAGACAAATCAAGCACTCGGGACAAATCACATTTTGAGTATGTGGAGCCAAAGAAAAAAAAATCGAAGCAAGCTAGTTGTTCTCCAAAGGTAAATGTCGCTACTATCGTCTCATTTCATTGAAGTTGTATTTTATAATTGTGCTGAGTAATGAAGTGTAATATACTGCAGCTTATACCTGTACTGATGAGATTACGAGGGCATTCGAATGATTCTTTCAACACTATACCAACTCAAGAGTCAGGAAAAAGCACTATACCGACACAAGAGTCGGTCAAACCATTATTTGAAGATGCAGATGTGGGATTGCCACCAGGTTTGATCGGCAAGAATAAGTACATTGACACGATCCATCCACGATTTCGTATGCACGTTCGAGAAATCATCAATGTCGGTTCAGATGGACACTGTGGATTTCGGGCAGTTGCCTCTATGATGGGATTTGGAGAAGATGAATGGGGTCGAGTGCGAGATGACATGCTACGGGAGTTGACTTCTAATTTTTCCACTTACACGACCATGCACCGTGGCGAAGAAACCGTTAGAAGCATGCAAGCTATTGTGAGTAACTGGGATGTTCCTGCAACTCGTGATCATTGGATGTCTTTTCCAAATATGGGTCATGTAATTGCTTCAACATACAATATTGTGCTTGTCTACTTATCCAAGTATCAGTGTCTCACGTTCCTTCCCCTATTGAGCGATCCAAAGCTTTTCTGCGAGAGACAAGAGCACGGTATGGCATTCGTCGACAACTGTCACTTCGTGCATGTTGTCTTGAACAAGAATTGTCCAATACCTCCTATAGCCGATTATTGGTACCGATGTCATGATCCTAAAGCTGATGGTTGGAAGCCTGCAGAAATGGATGGTCGGATTACAGCATTTCGAGAATTAATAGGTCAAAATGTTGCCACGCGAGAGAGTTTCGAGATTATTACTATATCAGACAATGGTGATAGTTCTCCCAACAAAAATATGTAAAGTTACTGGTGCTACTTTCAATGTTATTACTGGTGCTCGTTCAGGCGTTGAAGTAGTCTTTGACTGAGGCTCCCATCGGCTCGCTAATGGCCCCTCGAATTCCGTCTTCAATGTGCCACCCCCCAAATAAGGAAAGTGCTCGTAAATCCATGACTGAAAGAGCGTCAGCCAGCCAGCCATCGAGTTCGTTGATTTTTGTGAGGCTGAGGAAAGCTCATCGTACAACCGGCAAAGACATGCAGTGCCCCAAGCATACTCGCCGATCCGATCCAAATCAGATACAAGATTTAGGTACTCAACGCTTACCATGTTGCCTGTCTTGTCGCACAGTATAGTACACCCGAGCAAAAATAACAAATACGCCCGAATGGCGTATGTCCTCTTCTCCGCACTATCTCTCATGGTCACTTTGCTAAATTTAGCCTTCAACCATTCCAACTTGACCGCTTTCTTCTTGTTTATTACATCGTCCGGGTACTCACCTAGCAACTCGAACATCAAAGAACTGGGAATGGTTTTGGAATCACGGACCAAACGCTCGCAAGATACGGTACGCCCAACAACTGGCAAACCGACCAACGTACTCACATCGTCAAGTGTGATGGTCATCTCTCCAACAGGTAAGTGAAATGTGTTGGTAGCTGGCTGCCATCTCTCTACGAAGGCTCTAAGTAGATGGCCGTCCACAGTGTTGTACGATGCCTGTACAACTGACATTAAACCACATCTTTGTACTACCTCTGTAATAAACGGCGCCGGCTCCCAACCTTTCAAGGTTCCTGTGTGATTTCGTATTCGAAATTCTGAGCCGCGCTCCGAACGATCTGGCCCTCCGTTCACAATATGATAAGCAATGTGCTTATCAAATTTTGTGTACAATTCCGGTATCTCGGGACCTAGGACCGGTTCGTTGCTCGAATCACCAACTTGTACAGTCGAATGTAGAGCCGGCACCGGATTCGTTGACGAAGAACCCTCTCCAGACTTCTTCTTGGTCGTGGTCTTTTTCTTGGTCGTGACTGCTATGCCCTTGCCTTTATCGGATAATTCCTTCCTCTTCTTACGGTTCGAGACAGTCGGAGGTATACGAGGTTCACGTGGTTCTTCCACTGCAAAATAACACACAAATAAAAATTAATATATATAATATAAACACAAGCAAATACAAATAGGAAAAAAAAAAAAAAAAAAAAAAAAAAAAAAAAAAAAAAAAATTTCCCAACCCATTTTCGACAGGTTTCTGTCGAAAATTACCAAAATCCAAATTCAACAATTTCACCATTTTCGACATCTACATGTCGAATTTGGATGAATTTTCGACATCAACCTGTCGAAAATTCATCGAAAATCGACATATACAGGTCGAAAATGGTGAACGAAGAACCGACCCACGAATCTCAAATCAATGCTCAAATCGACTGAAATCAGATGCACCCATTACTAATTAACGATCATTCTAACCTAAAACAACCAAATCCTAATTACCCATATCAAACAATCAAATCTTAAATAAATATTAAAGAAAAAAAAATCGAAACAACTATAACTTACTATTCGAAGACGACGACGGCGGCGGCTTTGGGCGACGTTGGGCGGCGTTCGGCGGTGTTTGGCGTCGGCGTCCGACGGCGGCGATGGTTGGAGCGGCGGCGGCGGCGTCGGGCGGCGTGGACGAAGGGAGGTGGACGGAGGGAGGTTTTTTGTGTTTGAATTTTTTTTTCTTTTTTTTTATTTGGTTTTCAAATAGGTAATTTCAAAGAAAAATTGATGTAATTAGTATTTTGTATGAAAGGGTATTTTTGTACTTTTATTTTTATTTTGGTATTAAAGTAAGAAAAAACTTAAAAATATGTACTCAATTGTGGTTTTCAACTAGGTAGTATTCAACTAAGCAAAAATTAGTATTCAAAATAGTTGCCCCCTTGTAAAAAACATGCACCAAATCTTCCTATGTTAAAAAAAAACTTGAATGGGATTTCCACCATAGTTAACGACTTAACGTTGGTAATTATTTAACGTAATACGGGATTTCATGAGAGGTGAAGTGTAAAATTCATTTTGCACTATTCGTTATGCGATCATTTACCCCGTAATGTATAGAAAATATAAAAAAATCATGTCGTTATTTTTTTCCAAATCCCGTTAGTCAAACCATTTGATCGACTGTAGCAAAGAGTTGTTTTCTTTTTTACGAAAATATCCAAAAAAATCTCTAAACTTAGTTTTGGGCATTTTTTTATCAAAAAAATTCACTCTTTTCAGTTTTTTTTCTCACTTTATTCCGTCATTTCAACGCTTTTCAAACTTCTTTCCTTTTTGTATAAAAAACTGAAAAATCGAGTCAATAAAAATGAAGCTTTGCAAATTATAAATGCAAAACCCATAAAAAAAGAAAACTGAAAATCCCTAAACTCTAAAAGAAAACCTAAAATTGAAACAACCTAGGAAAAAAATAGGAGTTCTATTAAACACAAAGCGGGGTAAAAGAGTCAATTGCACACTCAAATTTACACCGTTCAAAGTTTGACCATCGATCGTAAAAAATAGAGGGTGTTTGATGTTTTCTATAAATCATGGGTAAATGATACATTTCGCATAGTACAGCAATGCAAAATGAAATTTACCCAAAAATAAAATGTGATTTGACCTAAATGGTCGGAATAAAGAAATGAGAATATGCAAATGGTTGGGGAACTACTTAAGGAAGGCCCGAAGAAGAAAGTCAAGTCAAGTCTAAAAGACATCCAAAAAGGAAGTATCGGGAAGAGTCTCCCGACGTTTGCACTGTGACAATCAAGTTAGTTGGGTATTCGAAGAGGGGAAGAAATATATGATAATGGTAAAAGTATATGTATATATTCATGTTACCCTAGACTGTTATTTATACATGTCATTTAGATAAAGCGGTGGGTGTCACATTATGGCCATGATCCCTAGTGGGGTGATGTGATCTTCCGGTTTTTTGACATGTCATCAGCGAGCTCCCGCTTTGGGGCGCAGGCTCTTGACTGTGGGCTACGACCTCTGACGAGCTCTCCTGGTTATATGGGATGGGAGCTTGTTCTTGAAGAGAGTGGCTTGTTCATAAGGGAGAATGGCTTGCTACAAGCCCTACCTCACTCTTTGGTCCCACGTGTGTGGTTCTTCGGTACTTGTCACTGTAGACCTTTCCATCCTTGTTGTCACTTCAGCCGCAAAGCTAGTCACATCTGTCAGCCGTCCATTCCTTTTGGGGAAGGGTGATAGGGCTAGTGACAGCCTCATGGGCGTTTGGACCTTAAGTAAATTGGGTTTTCTTCTTAATGAGTTGCATAGGGCAATCCTGCCCGGATTAAAATGAAACATAAACACCGAGAAGTTTTAGCAACAAAATTGACATTGTGGGATTTGATACAGGTTTAACACAAGGGGAGATTTTATGAATTTGAGATCAAATGCTTATTGATTTGTTATTATGAATTTGAGATCGAACGATGCAAACTCATCCAAATGCAGCTTAAGATAAGTTGAAGATTCTTTAGACCAAAAGGTTGAAACTATTTGAGATTGATAATGCTAAAACATTGGTTTATAAATACAAACTAGAATCCAATAACTTTATTCAATGAAAACACACACAATTACAACATTTAAAAACAGAAAATAAAAATTAAAAAGCCTAAGTAACAAAAGATGTAGGATCTGGAGGAGCTGGAACTTGAACAGATCCTTCAAGCATATGCATCACCCTCTTCATATGAGGCCTCAATGCCGGATCCTCCTGCACACACCAAATTGCAACCATCACAAATCTCTCGAACCGTTTCAAATCATCGACCGCCACCTCATCATCCGCCACTAATGATCGAATTGCCCCTCCTCTGTAACAATCGTACGCCCAGTCAGCAAGAACAACCTCATTCTCATCTTCGACATCCGGCAAAAAATTCCTCCGACAGCACAATAACTCGAGCAACAAAATGCCGTAACTATATACATCCACTTTCGCCGTTATCGGCATGTTTCGAAACCATTCGGGCGCCACGTAGCCTCTAGTCCCTCTTATGCCTGTATTGGTTCTTGTTTGATCTGCTCTTAGTAGTTTTGCTAACCCGAAATCGGATATTTTGGCCACGTGGGACCCGTCGAGAAGCACGTTCTGAGGCTTGATATCGCAGTGTATGATTTGCATGGTGCACTCTTCGTGCAAATAGCAGAGCCCTCTTGCTGTTGCGAATGCTATCTGCACTCTTCTGTACCAGTTGGGCGGTGACGGATTTTCGAATAGGAATTCGGCTAGAGAGCCGTTGGGCATGTACTCGTAAACCAAAAGACGGTTTTGCCCCTCATCGCAGTACCCTAGGAGCTGCACGAGGTTCTTGTGGTTTGTCCTGCTGATTGAGCTCACCTCGGTTTTGAATTCTTGATCGGCTTCTTCGGCGATCTTGTGCGGCTTTTTCACGGCAACAAATATTACGTTTTCGCCCTCCTTGAGGGTCCCTTTGTACACTGTCGACCAAGCACCGCTGCCTATTTCTTCGTTGAATCCATTTGTAGCTTCTTTTAGCTCATCAAAACCGAAGCTTCTTATGCTCACTACTCCTGGAGGAACTGTATTATGCGCTCGGATAGCCGTCTTCGATTTTCTTCCCTTGAAACGAAACACGAAGAAAAGTACAGACGAAAGAAGGAGCAAGTTCAGAAAAACCGAACTCCCCAACAAAACGGAACCCGTTACAATCAAAGCGGACCGGTTACTACTCTTTCTTTCAAAAGGGTTCTCCGCAGTGGTGGTGGTGGTGTCGTTTTTCCTTATCTTCACCAAAGCCTTCCCTCCAACGGAAGGATCGATAACCCCGTTTGAGAGAGGGCTTCTCTTCTTCCAACAAACACCGTTACTCCCATAAATCGCAACAGAACAGAAACAATCGTTAAGACAATCCTGTCTACACCAATCCTCAGAAACCGGTCCGAAACTAGCGTAGTCCGAAAGAGGCCAATTTACGCGAGGCATGTCGCTGAAGCTATAATGATCGGTATCGTTCGATTCTTGATTACAGCTCTGCGAAACGAAATCTTGTTTGCAACCGCTCAAACGGTCGTTCGGATCCAAAAGGGAGTAGCCGGTAGGGCAGATGCATTTAGGCCTCTGATCGGTTCCTAATGAGCAAAGACTGTTGAAACCACAAGCACCTCCCCCTCTATCTTGCCTAATGCTGAGGCATAAATTCGACGGCAAGAACTCGTTAACGGACCACGCCATTGGCCTCGTACCTGTCGAATTAGCAGACTTGGGGTAGACGTAATGCCTAAGTACTCCATCGTAGTCCAGCGTCAATCTCTGGTGGAATAGGCTCGCTGAAGCTCCGTTAGACGACAGCGTATTGAGCATAGTTCCGTTTCTTGCGGTGAGATATATATATCCCGATTGGTTGAATATTAACTGAAACCCGTCGCCTGGAGTTTGTGAAGACCAATATGCAGAGATGATATCGCCCATCGGGAAGTTTCTCGTATAAAGGACAAGATTTCCGTCGGTTTGGAGTTCAAGCTGGAATCTTCCGCTGGAATGGTTCGTGTCGGAAAAGGCGGCGATCAAATTGCTGTCTTGATTGAATATCTGGGATGGTAATAGTGTGTCGGTTGGTTCGTCGAAACTCCGCCACATAACAGCGGAGGAATTGGCTGCGAGAACGAAGTCGCCGCTGTCGAGCATGGCGGCGTAGGCCACGCCGGAGGTGGCTGGACTAGCAGCCCAGATCCTTCGGCCGGCGGTTGGGTCGTTGAGTTCGAATCTGCCGTCGGAAAAGAGTTGGATGGTTGATCCTTGTTGGACTAGATTGTTACGGTTGGCCGACCAAATTATAGTTCTCTCAGGCATTTCGTCGAACCAGATTGCGAGCAAGTAGCCTCCCGGGGAAACTTGCCGGAATCCGAAAGCGAATTCGCCGGAAGGTGATTTCCATGTGGAGTTTGAACTGTCAGCGACTAGGGATGAACCAAGAGTAATATTGCCGCCGCCGCCGCCGCGGGGGGACTGGGCGGTGGCGGAAATTGGCAGCAGAATGATCACGGCGGCCATGGTAAAGAATGATAGTTTGCATGAAACTCCAAAACCCATTTCGTTTCTCTCTCTCTCTCTCTCTTTCTCTCTCTAGAATTGATCACGATTTCACCGGTTTTTCATACCATTAATTGGAAGTCTTGGTCTCTGAAAATTAAAAAAAAAAGAAAAAAGAAAAAAAAAAGTGACTGAGTCATCTTTTCTTTGATTGACTCTTGTGGTCTAGGAAAGAGAGAGACAGGAGTGAACAATGGGCCAATGACTTCTGAGTCGTCGAGCGTTGACTTGGAAGAATCTTCTGATAACTTTTTTTTTAAATGATTATTAGTTTTTTTTTTCACATAACTTGTCTTCGGGTGTTTCCAAAATCAACTTTTATTTTTCTTCTCTTAAAATAATCTGCTTTAAGATATTTTTTAAAAAGCACCATAAACCCTGTTTTTTCTATTTAAGTTCATTTTTCAAAATATTTGCAAACACCCCCAACTTTTAGAAATAAGCACTTAAAACTGACTTAACTCACAATCACTAATTTATACTTTAAATAATCATTTGCAAACTAAACCTTAATTTGTATATGTAAAAGTACTTTCAATTTTCAATATATATATATATATATATATATATCAATAATATTTTAGATAAATTTAGTCGAAATGTTCTCTACACTGACTGGGGGTGAAAAATGAGACGGAATTTTCTAATTCGATGATTTCAATCGAATTTTACTTTACGGAATTAAAAAACTTATTAAATTATGATTCTCATTTTTTAAAATTCTAACTTTTTTTTCTTGAAATAACACTTATTTGTGAAAAACATGCGCTAAATCTCCCTATGTTACAAAAAAACTTGAACATAATTTCCACCGTAGTTAACACTTAATGTTGGTAATTATTTAACATGATACAATATTTCATGAGAGGTGAAGGGTAAAATTCATTTTGCACTATCTGGTATGCAATCATTTACCCCATGATGTATAGAAAATATCAAAAAAATTATGCCGTTATTTTTGTTCCAAATCCCGTTAGTCAAACCATTTGATCGACTGTGGCAAAGAGTGTTTTTTTTTCTTTTTTTTTTTGATGAAAATATCCAAAAAAATCTCTATACTTAGTTTTGAGCATTTATTATCAAAAAATTTCCCTCTTTTCAGTTTATTTATTTTTCACTTTATTCAGCCATTTTCAACTCTTTTCAAACTTTTTTTTCTTTTGTTTATGTATAAAAAGCTGAAAAATCGAGTCAATAAAAATGAAGTTTTGCAGATTATAAATGCAAAACCCATAGAAAAAGAAAACTGAAAATCCCTTAACTCTAAAAGAAAACCTAAAATTGAAACAATCTAGAAAAAAATTAGGGGTTTTATCAAACATAAAGCGGGGTAAAAGAGTCAATTGCACACTCAAATTTATACCGTTCAAAGTTTGACCATTGACCGTAAAAAATGAAGGGTGTTTGATGTTTTCTATAAATCATAGGTAAATTATACATTTCGCATAGTACACCGGTGCAAAATAAATTTTACCCAAAGATAAAATGTGATTTGACCTAAATGGTCGGAATAAAGAATATGCAAATGGTTGGGGAACTGCTTAAGGAAGGCCCGAAGAAGAAAGCCAAGTCAAGTCTAAAAGACATGCAAAAAGGGAGTATCGGAAAGAGTCTCCCGACGTTTGCACTCTGACAATCAAGTTAGTTGGGTGTTCAAAGAGAGGAAGAAATATATGATAATGGTAAGAGTATATGTGTCTATTCATGTAACCTTAGACTGTTGTTTATACATGTCATTTAGGTAAAGCGGTGGGTCACGCTGTCACATTATGGCCATGATATCTAGTGGGGGTGATGTGATCTTCCGGTTTTTTGACATGTCATCAGCGAGCTCCCGCTTTGGGGCGCATGCTATTGACTGTGGGCTACGACCTCTGACGAGCTCTCCTGGCTATATGGGATGGGAGCTCGTTCTTGAAGAGAGAGCTCGTTAATAAGGGAGAATGGCTTGCTACAAGCCCTACCTCACTCTTTGGTCCCACGTGTGTGGTTCTCCGGTACTTGTCACTGTAGACCTTTCTATCATTGTTGTCACTTCAACCGCAAAGCTAGTCACATCTGTCAGCCGCCCATTCCCTTCTAGAAAGGGTGGTGGGGCTAGTGACAACCTCATTAGCGTTTGGACCTTAAGTAAATTGGATTTTCTTCTTAACGAGCTGCATAGGTCAATCCTGCCCGGATAAAAATGAAACATAAACGTCGAGAAGTTTTAGCAACAATGTTAACATTGTTGATACAAATTTAACACAAGGGGAGATTTTATGAATTTGAGATCAAATGCTTATTGATTTGTTATTATGAATTTGAGATCGAACGATGCAAACTCATCCAAATGCAGCATAAGATAAGTTGAAGATTCTTTAGACCAAAAGGTAAAAACAATTTGAGATTGATAATGCTAAAACATTGGTATATAAATACAAATTAGAATCCAATAGCTTTATTCAATGCAAAGACACACAAATACAACATTTAAAAACAGAAAACAAAAATTAAAAAGCCTAAGTAACAAAAGATGTAGGATCTGGAGGAGCTGGAACTTCAACTGAACCTTCAAGCATATGCATCACCCTCTTCATATGAGGCCTCAATGCTGGATCCTCCTGCACACACCAAATTGCAACCATCACAAATTTCTCGAACAGTTTCAAATCATCGACTGCCACCTCATCATCCGCCGCTAATGATCGAATTGCCCCTCCTCTGTAACAATCGTACGCCCAGTCAGCAAGAACCACCACATTCTCATCTTCGACATCCGGCAAAAAATTCTTCCGACAGCACAATAACTCGAGCAACAAAATGCCATAACTATATACATCCACTTTCGCCGTAATCGGCATGTTACGAAACCACTCGGGCGCCACATATCCTCTAGTCCCTCTTATGCCTGTATTGGTTCTTGTTTGATCTGCTCTTAGTAGTTTTGCTAACCCGAAATCGGATATTTTAGCCACGTGGGACCCGTCAAGAAGCACATTTTGAGGTTTGATATCGCAGTGTATGATTTGCATGGTGCACTCTTCGTGCAAATAGCAAAGCCCTCTTGCTGTTGCGAATGCTATCTGCACTCTTCTGTACCAATTGGGCGGTGATGGATTTTCGAATAGGAATTCGGCTAGAGAGCCGTTGGGCATGTACTCGTAAACCAAAAGACGGTTTTGCCCCTCATCGCAGTACCCTAGGAGCTGCACGAGGTTCTTGTGGTTTGTCCTGCTGATTGAGCTCACCTCGGCTTTGAATTCTTGATCAGCTTCTTCGGCGATCTTGTGCGGCTTTTTCACGGCAACAAATATTACGTTTTCGCCCTCCTTGAGGGTCCCTTTGTACACTGTCGACCAAGCACCGCTGCCTATTTCTTCGTTGAATCCATTTGTAGCTTCTTTTAGCTCATCAAAACCGAAGCTTCTTATGCTCACTACTCCTGGAGGAACTGTATTATGCGCTCGGATAGCCGTCTTCGATTTTCTTCCCTTGAAACGAAACACGAAGAAAAGTGCAGACGAAAGAAGGAGCAAGTTCAGAAAAACCGAACTCCCCAACAAAACGGAACCCGTTACAATCAAAGCGGACCGGTTACTACTCTTTCTTTCAAAAGGGTTCTCCGCAGTGGTGGTGGTGGTGTCGTTTTTCCTTATCTTCACCAAAGCCTTCCCTCCTACGGAAGGATCGATAACCCCATTTGAGAGAGGGCTTCTCTTCTTCCAACAAACTCCGTTACTCCCATAAATCGCAACAGAACAGAAACAATCGTTAAGACAATCCTGTCTACACCAATCCTCAGAAACCGGTCCGAAACTAGCGTAGTCCGAAAGAGGCCAGTTTACGCGAGGCATGTCGCTGAAGCTATAATGATCGGTATCGTTTGATTCTTGATTACAGCTCTGCGGAACGAAGTCTTGTTTGCAACCGCTCAAACGGTCGTTCGGGTCCAAGAGGGAGTAGCCGGTAGGGCAGACACATTTAGGCCTCTGATCGGTTCCTAATGAGCAAAGACTGTTAAAACCGCAAGCACCTCCACCTCTATCTTGCCTAATGCTGAGGCATAAATTCGATGGCAAGAACTCGTTAACGGACCACGCCATTGGCCTCGTACCTGTCGAATTAGCAGACTTGGGGTAGACGTAATGCCTAAGTACTCCATCGTAGTCCAGCGTCAATCTCTGGTGGAATAGGCTCGCTGAAGCTCCGTTCGACGACAGCGTATTGAGCATAGTTCCGTTTCTTGCGGTGAGATATATATATCCCGATTGGTTGAATATTAACTGAAACCCGTCGCCTGGAGTTTGTGAAGACCAATATGCAGAGATGATATTGCCCATCGGGAAGTTTCTCGTGTAAAGGACAAGATTTCCGTCGGTTTGGAGTCCAAGCTGGAATCTTCCGCTGGAATGGTTCGTATCGGAAAATGCGGCGATCAAATTGCTGTCTTGGTTGAATATCTGTGATGGTAATAATGTGTCGGTTGGATCGTCGAAACTCCGCCACATAACGGCTGAGGAATTGGCTGCGAGCACGAAGTCGCCGCTGTCGAGCATGGCGGCGTAGGCCACGCCGGAGGTGGTTAAACCAGCAGCCCAGATCCTCCGGCCGGTTGGATCGTTGAGTTCGAATCTGCCATCGGAAAAGAGTTGGATTGTTGATGCTTGTTGGACTAGATTGTTACGGTTGGCCGACCAAATAATGGTTCTCTCAGGCATTTCGTCGAACCAGATGGCGACCAAGTAGCCTCCGGGGGAAACTTGCCGGAATCCGAAAGCGAATTCGCCGGAAGGTGATTTCCATGTGGAGTTCAAACTGTCAGCAACTAGGGATGAACCCAGAGTCACGTTGCCGGAGGAGGACTGCGCGGCGGCGGGAAGTGGTGGCGCAATTATTAGCAGCGCCATGAACGATAATAATCTGCTGAAGAATGCAAAAGAAGCCATATTTCTTCAGGAGTGATTTTTCTTTTTTCTTTTCCTTGTGAAATCATCAAATCAATTATTCTTTTATAAAATGATATACAAGACTTGTTCAAATTTCTCTGTTCATTAGAATGGACGAATGAACTGAAACTTCATCACGCGCCTTTTCATTGGTTGTTATATTCAAGAAAATGAATACACAAAGACTCGGACTGTGTTAGCAGTATCATCATCGAATTTCTCCAAAACAATTCAGTTAGTCAAATATATATATATATATATAAAGAAAATATTGGTTTGATTCTTACTGGCCGGCAGGTGCTTCTGGAAAACTCGTATAAAAACAAAACTAACAGGTTTAAAATCAACTCTTTCTAATTTAATATTTAACAGGCAAATGGCGGGAAAGTTACAATTTTCGTCCTTGCATCCATTTTATATTTGATCCTCATGTTCACAAAAAACCTCATTTGATCTCTAATATTCCAAAATTTAATACTTTTAGTCATTTTCATCAATTTTCCGTTAGTACTAACAGAATCATGTGTGTACTGAAGAATTCACAGTAAATTGATAAAAATGAAGAACCAACTATGTATTTTTCTAACATGAGGGATCAAATGTGAAATCAATCCAAACTTAAAAGATGAAAATTGTAATTCTCCAGGCAAATTGCAAATACATTTTATTTTTGTGTCTTGCAAAATAGATCCACCTCATTTAAACTTATTTGTTAATAAGAAAAATTCTTTCATATATACCGAAATTACCCCCAACTCCTTGAAACCCTATTTCAATTCCAATTTTATGATTTACATCCAATTTGATTCAATCCCAGCAATTAACCAATTTTGACCCAATTTTAAACACCACCGCCTGTCAGTCGCTGTTGACCGTTGGTCTCCGGCATTGACTGTTTTTTTTTTGAACTTTGAAAAAGAAAAACTATTTTTCATTAATATTATGGTCAAAGATAGTAACGTTAAGAGGTACCTAACTGTAATATTACTGTCTCAGTACTATTATTGTTAACACGGTAATTTAGGGAGGAAAAAAAAAGGTCAACGGTGTCTGACCGTTCGGAAAAAAAAAATACTTAAAAAAAAGGTTTTCAAAAAAAAATCAATGGGATGTCGGTCGCGATCAAAGTCGAAATCAGACCTGAAAAAAAATTATTTTCTAAAAAAAAAAATTTTTCAAAAAAATGTGAAAATGTTGGTTAATGTGAAATATTTGTTCAAATACGGGGTCAATGTGAAATATTGATGCAGTTAGAGTATAATGGATGAATTTGATGAAAATTATATTATGAGTGTTATTTTATACAAAATAAATGGGGTTGAGTTTATTTGCAAACTGCGTTTTGTTTGTCTGGTCATATGTGCATTTAAGTCCATTGTCATGCGCATGTTTGTCATTTCTTATTTGCCAATTAATATCAATATTTTAGATAAAAATAGTTGAATGCTCTCTCGGGAATATCGATGCTACACTCGGATCCCAATTTTCAAATTCCGCTGATTTTGAACCAAATATTTCTGATTTTAGAACAATATTTTTCATTTCCAATTCTAAAAGTCTGTTTTTCTATTTCTTAGATTATTTTTAACGGATTTGGAATGTATATAGAATTCCAATTTTTTTTTTTCCAAAAATTACAATTGTTTTTTTTTGGAAATTACAATTATAATATCAATATTATTATGAATATTTATCATAGTTGACTGAAAATTTAAAAATTCCGGATTCGTGCTTTCTAATATGGAAACTTTCAATTTTTTTCTTTCAAATTTCTGAAATTTCGATTTACAATTTTGTCAATATTTTATCCTGGTTTTTTTTCTTAACAAAACATGCACCAAATCTTCCAATATTATGAATAATAACACGAAGTTAAGACAGTTACCGAAGTTAGTTATTAATGAAACAGGAAATTGCAAGATAAAATAAAGTACATGGGATGATGGGAGTTTTAGGTGAAAAACTTAACACAAGAGGGTTTGGTGCATGTTTGTCTAACTAGCGCACCTTAATAAAAGAGTTATTGATTTAAGTGTGTAAATTACAATCACGCCTTAGGTAATGTCAAATTACAAAAAAAAAAAAACCTCATATTTGGGTAATTAGAATTATCCTCTCAACTATGAATCTTCTAACACGTTCACTATTATGGTGTCAAATTCAACATATCGAAACTTCTAGATTTCGTGGAATATTCTCTAGTTTGTACTCATTTTGTAAAAAAATGAAATTTTTGATGCATCACAATCGGATATATACAAACTAAAATACACATCTTATGATCATCTTGCTTCAAAATGTTGAGCTCGAATGGGATAAAATGTGTACAAACTTGAGAATATTTCATATAATCTAAAAGATTCTACTATATTTGACACTGCAAAAGTGGACGTGTAAGAAGATTTATAGTTGAGGGGTGGTTGTAATTACCCAAACAAGAAGAGATTCTTCGTAATTTGGCATTACCTCATGGGGTGATCGTAATTTACCCCATATATATATATATATATATATATATATATATATATATATATATATATATATATATATATATATATATATATATATATATATATATATATATTTGTTTGTTATTATGAATCTGAGATCGATAGCTGCAAACACATCCAAATGCAGCTTAAGATGCATGTAACTAAGTTGGAGAATATTTAGACCAAAAAAGAAAATAAGATTCATAATGCTAAAATTAAACATATCATTAGATACAATTGTCCACTCTTCCATCCTATGCTACTAATAAAAGGCTAATTAATCTCCTTCCTCTAAACTAAACTAAAACAAAAATAAATTATATCGAAAAAGAGAGATACATTTCATCATCTCTATTTCTTCTAATCTATACGAGAAGGAATTAAGAAGAAGAAGACGAAGAAGACGACCTCATTTATTATGACTAGGATTCGAAGAACTCGGCGGCTTTTTCCTTAGACCGTTTTCCATGGTTTTCTCTTGGTGGGCCCCACTCAACTTCCCTTTGCTCACGGAAAACGAATTTACATCGACCCCCGACTTTCTAATCGGATGCCGTTTTCCATGATGAACGTGTCGAGCCGAAGTTGCAGCATATTGCAAATGCAGCAAGATCAAAACTAGTAGAACAAAGACTATTTTGCTGTTGTTTTTCATTTTACTTTATTGTCTTAATTTATGGCTTGAAAGAGAGATATGATAGATATAATGGGAGATGAATGGAAATGAGAAAGATTGGTATATATATATATATATATATTGGTAGTTATATAATGTGAGGATTTTGTTCTTGATTGAATAAGCTCGTGCTTCAGCCTGACAAGACATGTGTTGTGTGTATATATAATTAAGGTAAATATTTATCATGGTATTACATTAAGTCAAACAGTGTCAAGATGTAGCTCTGACACTACTGCCTTCGTAAATATGGGAAATTAGTGTCATCCCCTAATCTAAGGTCAAATTACGAAAAAACCCTCGTGTTTAGGTATTTACAAATGTCCTTCAGCTATGAATCTTTTTACACGTCCACATTCGCGATGTCAAATGTAATGAGATCTTCTAGATTATATGGGATATTCTTAAGCTTGTACGCATTTTATCTCATTCGATCTCCACATTTTGAAACAAGATGATCATAGGATGTGTCTCTTGACTTGTAAATATCAGATTATTGTGCATCAGAAACTGCATTATTGCACAAAACGAGTACAAACTAGAGAACATTTAGTGAACGTGTAAGAAAATTCACAATTGAGGGTATAATTGTAATTACTCAAACATGACATAACCTCAGGGATGGTTGTAACTTACCCTACATATATAGTAATGTTAGATCACTTCTTGATTGAAATTTATGCAAACTTAAAGATCTCGATTTTGGATGTTTATTGCAATTATTTGTGTGGCCACATCGATTTATATAACAATAAAACCAGTCAAGAAAACGTGGTTCTCTTGAGTAGCAACTCTAATTGCATGTGATGTGATTTGACTATTATTATTATTATTATTATTATTATTATTATTATTATTATTATTATTATTATTATTATTATTATTGATCTCTCTCTCTCTCTCTCTATGCATGTACTACTGTCATGTGACTTTATGGCAAGAGATCACTACTAACTACACACATTAGTCATCTCTTGATTCAAACTTAATCTTGACATTAATTTCTTAATCATGTCTTAATTAAGCTCCTTCAATCATTGCAGCAAAGAAACAAATTACAAAACAGATAGGTTTAGCTGGTGAAGCTTTGAATTCTGTGCCTTGAAAGATTGTATTTTTATATATCAAACTCCACATGCTATTTTCCACCACCTTCCTTATCAAGACCACATCAGATAATCAGTACTATAATATTCCCTTTCCATGGATTCTTATTTGTTGCTTAAATTGCATTTTATTGTTAAATAAAACCTTAATTATTACCTCATTCTAATGTTTTCAGATCCCAATTTTTCGTCTATTTCCTAGGCAGACACCATTTTTAAAAGGCTAAACTATGGCCACCACTATGAGATAAGATCAAATTACGAAAACACCACTCTTGTTTGGGTAATTACAATCACCCGCTTCAACTATAAATCTTGATACACATACATCCTTACAATGTCAAATTTGAAATCTTCTAAATTATATGTAATTTTCTCCAATTTGTACTCATTTTACCACATTCGAGCTCCACTTTGTGAAGCAAGATATCATAATATGTCTCTTGGCTTGTAAATTTCAGATTGTGGTGCATCAGAAACTGCATTTTTGCACAAAACAAGTACAAACTAGAGAACATTCCGGAATCTAAAATATTATGTTGAATTTGACATCATAAGGATGTACATGTAAGAAAATTCATAATTGAGTAAGTGGTTGTACTTACCCAAACATAAGAGTTTTTTTTCGTAATTTGATCTTACCTTAGGGAGGTGGCCGTAATTTACCATTTTTAAAATAAACTCACTAATTTGTGATCATCCATAGTTTTGTTTATCAGTCATCATCTTCTTTTCCTACTTTGCACACAATCACACACACAAACATGTGGGTGTGTGTAAAAAAAATGGATCTTTACACGTCTATGGTAGCATATAACAAACCAATTAATCCGGATAGTTTATACGAACATGCAAGTAAATACATAATAAAATGTATTATTTCGTGAAGGAAAAAAGACAAACGAATTCCGTAATGCAACTCTTTCACGAGTTATTTCTCGAAACAACATTAGTGTATCCAAATATTTTAGCGAAACACGAAATCAATTGATCTTGAATCAATTCATCCGAAGGAAGAAGTACCTCTTGTTTCACCTCTCTCTGCAGAGACGTAACTTCTTTATCCGCAATCCCACACGGCACAATATGCTTGAAATAGCTCAAATCCGGATCGATATTAAACGCCAAACCATGCGAAGTAATTCCCGAAGAAATACGAACCCCAATAGCACCAATCTTCCTCTCACCGACCCAAACCCCCGTTTCGCACTTCCGTCCAACGGAAGCTTTAACTCCGTACAAAGATGCCAGCTCGATCATCGTCAACTCAAGATTCTCCACGTACTTTCTTGCCCCTAATCCGAATTCCCTCAAGGAAATAATGGGGTACAAAATAGCTTGGCGGGGCCCGTGGAAGGTGACATCACCCCCTCGTTGCGTGTAGTGAAGCTCTGCCCCCATGGATTTGAGTTCGCACTCGGGAACCAAGATGTTGTGGTCGGTTCGTCTTTTGCCGAGGGTGTACGTAGGGGGGTGTTGCAAGGAGAGAAGGGTGTCGGTTATTTTGTTCATTTTTCTATCGGATGCTAGTTTCTCTTGCAGCTTAAGTGCGTCGGAGTAATTAAACAAATTACCCATCTTTCGAATCTCGATTGTTCGAGGAACCCTCATTTTCCCTGAACGATCATATCGGATGTTAAAGACTGACATTTCAAGATTCATCCACCGAAAGCTCTTGCATAACTTTTCAACGAAGAAGCATCATACAAAGATCAAATATATATAATAATAATAAAAAAAAAAAAACCCGAAAACTCGAAACCGGAAAACCGGAATTCCAATGAGGACAGACACAGACATGTTTTTATCTGTAAGGAAATTGAACAGCAACGTTTGCCCCATATCTAAACTAAATTTTACGATATCTCTAATATTACTTGTTTATATATAAATGGAGTTAAACACATAGACAGCAAATATCAGAAGAAAACAGATGTTTAGCTATACATTGTTTGACCTATTTCCCCAATGCTATATATAATAGGAAACAATTTAGGGCAAAATCGAAGCAAACCAGTCTCTTGTTTTTTTTGCAAAAATCTGCAATGGGCAATCCAAAATAAATTCAGAAGTTTGATGAAATAAACAAAGTCAACCAATGGGAGAGGATAAAATGCAAAAATAATTGTATCAGCTTATTTTATTCATACCAAATTCAACAAAGCATAATCAGAAGGTACTTATCCGAATTCAACGGCTTCGAATTGAAGAACCCAAGAAAGAAGAGTACCTACCTGCCTTGTAAATCCGTTTTCAGATTATGAAATGGGGCAATTCGGAGTTGAATCTATCTACACGGGTCGGGTAGTAGTAGTAGTAGTATTGGGATTTAACTACCGGGTTCGGGTTATCAAATCGAACCGGTTCGCGGAAGAATTTAAACTGAAAACCAGCTTTCTTTTCTAGATTTTTCGGTTCTACTGAGATGAATAGAGAAACGGCGGTCGTGGCGACGGCGAGGCGGAGAGGTAGGATAAACCGAGGAATTGATCGGAAAGAAAAACACGGGTCACAGTCCACAGAGAAATTTTCTTTTTGGGTAAATTACACCCACACCCCTGAGGTATACTTAAATAACTTTAAGATCCATGTGGTATCGATAATTACACTCACCCCCATGAAACGTAGTTATAAACTCTAATGGTATAATGCATTGGATATGCTATTACGATAGAGTTCTAACGCACTATTGGTTTCAGGAAGTGGTGGAGACAACATGCGTAATTTAAGAAATATTGGGGGAGCCATGTCACCTCATAACTCCTCATAACTCTATGTTATCTCCACCACTAGCTAAAAGTAATAGTCCATTAGAACCCTATCGGAATAATGTATCCAATGCATTATCCCATTAGAGTTTCTAACTAATTTTCATGGGGTAAGTATAATTATCGATACCACATGGACCTTAAAGTTATTTAAGCATACCTCAAGGGTGTGGGTGTAATTTACCCTTTCTTTTTTAATAATACTCTGAAAATTATTTGTTCTAAAATTTCAATGGTAAAAGTGTAAATTTTGACTCATTTAATTAACAGAAATTTAAACTGATAAATCAAAATTCAAAATTAAACTAAATTTTGTTTGCTTTCCTCAAGTATGGGTGCTAAATGAACCGAGTCAAGTCAGCTCGTGAACTCGAGCTCGGGTTTTTCGAGTTCACGAGCTCAAGTTTCTAACGACCTTGTGCTTGATCTCGATTATAGTTGTTCAACAACTATAGTTATATATTATACAGTAAAATTATTACTATTTGAAGCTCGAGCCAAAAAAATTCAACTCGGCGAGTTCGAGCCTGTCAGAATAGGTGAACCCGGCTCGTTCACAGCCCTAAATGCAAGCAAGTAAACTGCAATTGAGTAATATCCAGCAAAAGAATACTTGAATAAATATCTCCCAAGCAAAATTAGCACAACAAAAATTAAAAATATCACCTATATGAATCCATACACAAAAAGAAGACAAAACAAAATAAAAAGGCATGCAAGGGCTACAAGAGTACACATGTTATTACAAAAGCAAAAAACAGCATACATGCTTTTCTATGTACCATATTACCTTTATATATATACTATGTATCTCTTTCTCTCTCTTCGGTGGTCTGTAATGTCATGAACTGATCAAGAAGAACAGAAAGCATGCCCACGCCTGGACGATAAGCCCAAGCAGGGGGCAAACGTGCATACTTCTCCATTCCAGGTTGATCCTCATATGGCCTTGACATCACCTTTAATAAACGACGAACCTCTTCAAAATCGCCTTGCTCTGCTATATCTATCGCACTTTGGCATAAATAATTTCTAAGTATGTATCTCGGATTTACTGAATCCATCGACTTTTTTCTCTCCTCATCCGAAATGCCACTAGTAGAAAGCTAATAATATCCCCAAAAAATAAAAAAATAAAAATATGAGAAGATAATAAATCGGTGCTAAAATGGTAAATTCACAAACTAATTCTATAAATAATGTGCGTTTTCGGTTAATGCAAAAAGTGAGGTGTACCTCTTGGACGTAGGATTTGAGCCAGCTAGTCCATGCATCTTTGCGCTCCTTGCCCATATCCAACAGAACAGCCTTCAGAGGGATCAACAGTTCATCTTCTGGAATTGTGGGATCAGCTTTGATATTCGAAAGCAGTCGAAAGAAATTTGTGTAGTCGACTTTATCGATGGACATGTTTTTAAGAAGCTCGTTGATCAACTGCTTGTTGTACTTTGGCAGCCCGATCTTTTTGGTCATTATAGCTTGATACTCGTCCATAAACTTCGTTGCGTATCTAACAAGTCAAGGAAAGAAGGTGTCAAATCAAAATCAAATTGGTCAACTCAGATCACAGAGAGAGTGAAACGATTAAATAAGTACCTCTCCATGGCGTAATTAGTCTCCTTGTCGTTGATTAAGTGGGCAGCAGCGATAGTAGTGGCGAACTGAGAAATATTCCATAAACCAATATCGGGTTGATTTGCAAAGCAGTACCTTCTGCCTGGAAGATCGGTAGTGTTTGGAGTGTAACGGGGGTCAAAAGCATCCAAGAAACCAAAAGGACCGTAATCAATGGTGAGTCCAAGTACACTCATGTTATCTGTGTTCAACACTCCATGTGTAAAGCCAACACCCTGCCACTTGGCAACTAGTGAGGCCGTACGCTCAGCAACTTCAACTACCCAAGCTGATTATTTTTGCAACCATAAAAATCAAATTTGGTAAGATAATCTTTCAAATTGTGGAACTCTCAGCGAATAGGATAAGAAGTACCAGAGCAACTATATGCGGCATGTGTATAATAAATATAAAAAAGTTGAAAATGAAAATTTGGCAACATAAAATGGAAAAAAGGCAAAATAATGAATTCAGTACCGACACCATAATCTATCTCAATCTTTTTTCCTTTCTGTTGAAAGACATTGTTGTTAAGAAATGTCAGAAATAGCTTAGCTCATTTCACTAAATACCATATAATATGAACAATTAGAAAGCCGAAAGCTGTTTGAGATCCATATTGGAAACTCCACATAACATGAATTGATACATAAGACACGACTTCTAGGCCAATTTGTCCAATAGCAGATGACTGTGTGTATCGTATTCTGGCTATAATTATTGTCCTTCACTAGCCGGTGGGTCCAAAGACACCAACACATGTTAACAAGTAGGAGGACACAAAAAAGACAGGGAAAAAAAGGTAGAAGGAAACAGCCAATAGAGTTAATGAATGTGTGTGGTTTCATATTAATCACATCCAAAGATTGTTAAGCAATATAGATGCAAGAATAGAGAGACAGCTTAACATGACATATACAAAACTATGATGAGGCATGGATCATATGGTAGATGAGTTTCGATACTGTATCACCTAAATTAGGACATGATTGCAGCTCATTAAGAGAGTCACAAATTTAATTGGTGTGAATTGAATAAAATTTTAATTGTGCATGGCATCAAACCAATTGTACTGAGGCATATACAAGATTCCTCAAATGTAAAGTTTACCTGCATACTTGTTCGAAGTTAAATCCACAACTGACTCATCACCTTCACCAACGCTGAAGGATAAACTATCACTTTTGCTAAGGTTCTCTAGGTGGGGGAAGTGATACCGAATAGCATAATCAGCTAAAGTGCGAACAAGGCCAAGATCATCTCCCCCTCTTGAAGCATGTATTTGGTATGAACCAAATCGAAGAAAGGATTGAGAAACTCTGCAAACAATTGCTCCAGGCTCATCCTTTGGATTACCACTGCATGCAAATGAACACACAGACAGTCAAATCCTTGGAACTTACATTTTTTTACCAGCTCTTTACGCTACGAAATACAGCCCTTATCTTAACAACATTGAAACGATCAATTTAAAGATTGGAATAAGGCTAGTAAGACGTACTCATAAAACATGTCTCGAGTGACATAATTTCCAGTTGTCACTAGACTCAGTGCACGTGTTGTTGGAATTCCCAGACTATTCATTGCCTCGCTGCAGAGGAATTCTCGGATACTACTACGTAGTACAGCAAGACCATCAGCAAATCTACTGTATGGGGTCTTTCCAGCACCCTTAAGCTGCAATTCCCACCTCTGAGACTTAGAATTAAGAACCTCTCCTAGAGTAATTGCTCTACCATCACCCAATTGTCCAGCCCACATTCCAAACTGGTGTCCTCCATAGCACTGAGCGTAAGGCATCCTACATAAAAGTTAACGAGAAATAGTTGAAAAAATGAATGGAAAAAAAAGAGGGGGATAGAGAGAAGGGTTATCGAAATGAAACTCACATTCCAGCTAAAGGTGATGACCCAGATAACTTCTCTGCAAAATCAGGCCTCTCAAATCTGATATTTCAACCCAAAATGTCAAGTCTATAATAGTAGAGACAAATTTTATGAAAGGAATAGCACAACCAAAAAAGACAGACATCCTTTCAGATAATCAAACAGCTTACTCTTTTGGATCCAACTCGAGTAACTCTGCAACTGAATCTGACCATGCAACAAGTTGAGGATTATCGACCTCAACAGATGGAGATACTTTTGTATAACAAGAATGCAGGACCTGCAAAAATGGCAAATGCCATGACGTATAATAGCGTCAAGTATGTCAATTAAGGAAGTAATAACAAACTATAAGAATACTCAGCATAAAGTCTCTGACATCTCTAACTTTGGTCGAAGATTTTCCAAACATGTAAAAGCACAACAAATGCCATGTACTAAATAACATCTCACTTTGACAAATGGTAAATTATTCCTAGAGGCTAGAACAATAACTGCACGATCCCCAAAGTTCTATTCAGTACCCAAGTTCTAATCAAATCAGTGCCGAACATTGGTCGATCGGAGACGAATCAGGCAACCAACAAGTCTCCTCTCTTTCTAAAAGTCGCAAGATAAAAGTTGTTTTGATTAAATTATAAATACAAAATAGTTCTTAATAATACTATTCCCAGATGTTGGTTCATAGACCAATAATATATATATATATATATATATATATATATATATATCCTCTCTGAAACATATTCTTGACAGTACAAGCAACCCGTCTCGATCAATGACAAAGCTTGAAAATCTAAAAATACCAGAAAAATCTTTCCCAAATATGAAAGGATTCTACTTCTACTGACAGTTTGAATTCCTTTTGAGCTATATCAATATATACATCTGGAAACAGATAACCTCCATATGTAGTTAATTTCAAATATGCGAATGCAAGAGCAGCTTAATTTAGGCATCTTCAAAATTGAAACTTCTCTGCAAATAACTCACAAGGATAAAATAAGAGCAAAATTTAATCGAATAAATCAAAACGAAATTAAACCTCTCTAGGGATCAAATCGGTTCTGGGATCACCGGGCAGCTCACGAACAAACGAGTGGTCCCACTTCAATTCCTCCAGCTTCAACTTAACCCTATTCTGGCTAATACTATCAATCTGCGCCCCATTGTCAACACTATCGCGACCTAAATTCTCGCCGCTTTGATTTCCCAACATCTGATTCTTCAAATCTTCGGAAATAGAGTCAACCGAGGCGGCGGAGGGGGGAGAAGAACTTCCGTCCATTGAAACGACGGCGGAGAACTGGCGCCGCTTCTGCGAATACGAGGGTTTGGAGGGGCGGAAACGGAACTTGGGTCGGCAAAAGGATCGGAGGGAGAAGGCGGTTGTGGCGGTGAGGGAAGAGGAGGTGTGAGAGAGTGTTGCTGAAATCTGGGAAAACATTTTTTTTCTTTGATTTTTAATTACAATGTATACTTTTTTTTGTTTGACACAATTTTTTCCCCAATTTCTCTTTCTATAATTCTACTGTATATAATGTAATACATATATATCACATATACATATATATCCAAATACTATAGAGATATTTTATTTGGTTATTTAACCATTTTTGGGGCATAAAATTTAAGGGATAATTAGCAAGACCCCCCATCTAGGAAAATGAGTTAAGAAAACACCCTCTCTTAAAAATAATTAGAGAAACCCCCCTAGGTAATTTTTAACCCAATTTATATTTTCTTAATTCCAAAAACACCCTCACTTTTATAAAAGCCTTTTTGTTCACGTTTCACGCCTCTGTTCAAACCCCTGTTTTTTTTTGTGCTTTGGTTATCACTGTGTCAACGGCGACTGACGTGGAGACGTGGAACGGGGACTGAGGTGGCGACGTGGCGGCGGCGACGGCGACGGAGATTGAAACAGACGAGGAAGTTAATTGCACATACGGCGACGGACATTGAAACATACGGTTCGTTTTTTTGCTACTGATTTTCGAAAATAGTTTTTTGTCGATTTTGTAATGTGTTTTAGGGTTAAAATGATCACGTTCGTTTCGATTTTTCAATTTTGTTGTTGTTATTGCTTGTTACGTATATGTTTTCGCCCGTAGTGTGGTTTTGATGATCCGATCCTAATTTCCAGTCGTTTTTGTGCTAAAAGTCGATGTAAACAGAGCCTCTGTTTGTTCATATGCGTAATTATGTTAAACTGGTCCGTTTTTTGTAGCTTCTATGTGTAAACAGAGAGAGCTTGATCTGTTTTGCTATGTAATTGCATAGTCGTTTTAATATGCGCACAGTCGATTTACTGTGTTTCTTTACTGTACAGATGTATGTCTCACACAGAATTTTGTTGAGGTTTGGATGCTTAATTGCAATTAAAAGGTGTTCGGAATCTTTGAATTTAAAAGAGCTGGTGGAATTTGTCATTCTTAAATGGAAACAGCTGAAAAAATGTAATATTACGTTAACGTATATCCTTGCGGATTACGGCGAGTGTATTCTGTCGGACGATGATGACATGGTTTCGATGTTTGATATGATGAAATTGTTGTCATTAGAGTGTATTGAGGTTATTGTGAAAGAGAATAATCGGTTTCTGGTGGGCGCAAATCCTTCATGTGTTGACCATGTTCAATTACCCGTAACACAGTACAATAGGAGTGTGGTTGTGAATGAGATGAATGTTGAGGGAGTCGTTGACACTTCGGTTGGTAAGAAATTGTTGAGTGCTGAGTGGGTTCATTTGATTAAAGAGGTAGGACAAGTTTTTTTGGGTGGAGTTGATGAATTTAGAAAATGCTTGATTAAGTTTTCGGTTGAGATGGGATTTGAGTTTGCGTATGTGAAGAACGAGTCGTACAGAGTGACTGCTGAATGTAGATTTAAACATGAGGCTCAGTGTTCGTGGAGGATTCATGCTTCTATTTCTAAATCGAATGGTTCTTGTTACATTCGTAAGTACAACAAAGAGCATCAATGTGGCATGTTTTTTGGTACTGTAAGTAGGAGGAGAATGACGTCGCGTGTCATAATTGATTTGATAGAAGGTGATATCAGGGCAATGCCAGGTATTACGCCCCGTGAGGTTCAAAAACAGGTGAAGGAAAAATTTGGCGTTGAGATTAGTTATTTTGTTGCGTGGAAATCTACTGATGCGGGTCGAAATAGGATTTTCGGGGACCACAACAGCTCGTATGCATACCTGCCGTCATATTTTGCTGAAGCTGAGAGGACGAACCCCGGAAGCATATTCAATTTGGATATTGATGAGTCCAAGCGAATTTTTCGCCGATGTTTTTTTGCCTTTGCAGCTTGCTTGGTAGGATTCAAGTCATGCCGCCCCGTGGTGATGCTTGATGGGACTTTTTTGAAGGGTAAGCACAAGGGGATCCTGTTGAGTGCTATTGGGAAAGACGGTGATGAAGGTAAACTGTGAACATGCAATATTAATGCACAGTCGAATAGTATATGCATAGTCGATTAATGTTTTCTGTTTTTTTTTTTTTTTTTTTTTGGTAGGTCTGTTTCCTATTGCTTTTGGAATTGTAAGTGAATAAACTGATTGTAACTGGTCTTGGTTTTTGAACCAATTTCGAGATGTTGTTGGGACTGACCGGTCGTTTATTTTTGTTTCTGATCGTAACCATGGGATTCTTGAAGGAGTTAGGCAAATTTTTCCAGATGCTTTACACGGCTACTGTTACAAACATTTGACTCGTAATTTGCAGCACAGGTTCAGGGGTGTTGCTCCAAACTTTCGTGACGCGGTACTGGCACAGTTTGCAAATTGTGCTTATGCGGTTACGAATGAAGATTTTGCCCGCTGTATTCAGAAGTTGAGAGCTACTGGTGGCAAGAAAGTGTGCAATTTTTTAGATGGTATTCCAAAGGAGAAGTGGGCAAATGCACATTTTGAGGGTCTGAGGTATGGTCAAATGACATCGAATGGGTGTGAGTCGTGGAATTCTCAGGTAGGCGATGAACGGTACCTGCCTATTACTAGCTTGATTGACGGGATTAGAATGTTGTTGATGGAGCAACTTAGTGATCGATTGGGGGATGGAAATAGGTGGACAACTGTGCTGACCGAGTCCGTTGACAAAAAAATGAGACAGCTAGTTGATAAAGGGAGGACATGGGAACGTAAAAAGTCGTCGGAAACTGTGTATGAAGTTTTATCGACGCCGAATGCTGTTGTGGATCTGCGAGAGAGAGTGTGTTCGTGTAAGCTTTGGCAAATCAACGGGCTTCCATGTGCACACGCTGCTGTTGTGATTTTCTTAGAAATAGGTGGTGGTTACGAATATATTGATAAATGGTTTCATAGATCAACTTTTGTCCAAAGTTATTCTGGTTCAGTTGTGCCGTTTGTTAGACTGGATAATGACATTGCAGATAGTGACATTGGGCCACCTGAGTATCATCCATCACGTGGCAGGCCTAAACGGAAGAGGATCCCTTCTAATGGGGAGTTTACATCTCGGAAAATGAGATGCAGCCATTGCAAAGAAGTTGGGAATCATAACAAGAAAACATGCCGGAAATGATTTTATTATTCTTGAACTTTATGATGTTTTCACAATTTTTATGATGTTTTTCCACAAAATACAGTGGGGTTTTATTCTGTTATTGAACTGCATAGTCGATTAGTGAAACAATAATAGTCGATTAATGAAACCATATATGGGTTCATAGTTTTAAGATTCTTTTAGCAGTTTGTGTTCTTTTTGAACTTGTGTTTTTATTGTGGTTTTATACAGTGGGACAAAATGTTTTTTTATTGTGGTTTTAGATTTTTTTCACAAGGGAGCAAAATGGTGTCAGCAGGGGACAATTTTTATTCTGTTTTTTGTACTACGTAGTCGATTAGTGAAACCTGATAGTCGAATAGTGAAACATTATATGTGGTTCACAGTTTTAAACATTATATGGGTTTTATGATTGTGTTTTTGTGAACTTGTGTGTATTGTTTTTTTAGTGTTATAAATGGGGACAAAATGTTTTCAGTGATACATAAATTTCAATACATAAATTCATGAATCCTACATGTTTCTGAATAGTTAAACAAGGATAGTCGAATAGTCGAATAGTTAAACAAGGATAGTCGATTAATAAATCCTACATGTTCTGAATATAAGAAAGAATATTAGACACTACTAGTTTTTTTTCAACAAATCATAAATTTCAATAAGCTCTCAAGCATTCCTTGCTGGTTTGGTGTAGTATTTGTCTCCACCATACTTTAAGAATGTGTCCACGATGCCCCCACGCAGCTTTGGTATTTCTTTCTTCATGTCCTTGGGGGTGTCGAGTGGATGTTGTAAGAAAAGTTGCTTGATCAGGTACAAGACAAAGAGGCCACAGTCTCTTCCATTATTTTGCTGCGGGGAGGATATCACGTCAACAACAGGCATGTCAAAGTTGACGTCTATGTTGTACTTTGCAGCTGACAACTTCATTGCTTCCTTCTGTTATAAGCAACATGAAATTTAGAGTTAATTGTAAAGTATCAATTAATTTTTTTGCTTTTTAAAATATTATGTTTTGTTTTGCTAACCATGTCTAATGCGTCGATAAAATATTTGTCGGAAGTGGAATCCATCTCATCATTCTTCCTTCTCGGACGCAACGAGTTGTAGTAACTCCATGTTTCTTGTAGTCTGTCGAAAACAAGCAGAGTGAAGTGGTTGGCCACCTTGTTTGGATTTGTACCTGAATGCAACGGGAATATAATGTATCTGTGATCGTCCAAGTTCGGGGGTAGCTCAAACGTTCTGTCCGGTCTGTTTGGGTGCCTAATGTCATTCTGTGAAACAATATTTATATATATATATACATATATTAGTGTTTTGCGACCAAACATAATGTGATTTTTTTTTATTAGTTTGCGATTCAACTGTCTTACCAGAAGCAAACATGGGAAAACATAGCTTTCCCCACTCAAGTCAGGATGGGCTCCACGTTTGAATTTGCCGTTTGCGTGCTCAATCATCAAAATCTCACAGAAGGAGTCTAACGGCTTTTTTTTCATGAAAAGATAACAGAGCAATTAATATTATATTGCATTTATTAGAATAATTCTTTATAATTTAACTTACTGCGCTGTAGATCATTTCATTCCTTATGATGGTGAACAAGTCTTCAATCTGCACAATTTTTTTGCCATCTGCACTCCTCCAGTACAGCCGTCTGTACAAAAAACAAGTAGATTTTTAATTGACTATGGCTTATAAGTGATAGTCGATTAATATTCATATAACACAGTCGATTAATACAAAGAGTTACTTACCCCATTTTATCCCCAGCGGTGGTTGCTATGAAATTGAGCAGTTGCTGGCCAGTCTCTAACATCTGCTTGTAAGCTGTGTAATTCTTGTATGTTTTTGCAACTTTCGAAACTGTTCTAGGTGAGACGGTGGCTTTTTTTGATCGTGTGCGCCCAGCGACAACGGATTTGGGTTCAATTTCTTCCATAAACTCGTTCACGGCATCATCAAACTGATCGTCATCTTCTTCAGCGGGGTTTTTGTTAAGTGTATATTTTTATACTTTATCGTACCTTTTTATTTGAGCTTTTGGTGTGATTTAACGATAATTGGTGGTTAAAAAGTTGATTTATTGCATTTTAGGTATAAATTGAAGAATTGGAAAAGTTTGGGGTCAAAACTGCAAATTTGAAGAAAATATGGGCCAAAAGTGAAATAATCAAAAATATGCTGAAAATTGGCTGAAAACAGGCCCGCACGGCCGTGCCAAAATTAGCCTATTTTTGGCACGGCCGTGCCAAATGCTGAATTTGGGCAGAAGGTTTGGCGATTCTCGCGCGGCCGTGCGAGAATTGCACTGATTTTCGCGCGGCCGTGCCAACACCCGCGGGAGACAATTTTGGACTTTTAATCACACAAGGAAACCTAAAATCATCTACCAAGTTGGGACATCTATTTAAGCCCAAACCAAGCACGAATCAAAGAACTTTGGACACAACCTTGGAGCGAGAGAACGAAGAATCGAAGACGAAGAATTGACAAATCTTCATCACAATTCTTATTTCATCTATCTTTTCTTAATCTATTTCTTTTTATGTTTTTATGATGTTTTTCGTAGAGAACATGCGTAGCTAAGTTTTTAATCTAGGATTTTGTTGGAACCCTATGTAGGGATTGCGAACCCTTTTTCTTGAGATTATGCAATTATGATTTTATGATTATTTCTTCTACTTGTTATGATTGTTAGTGCATGAACTTGATCAATTTATGTGCTTTATCTGTGATTATTGGGATTGACTCGACAGAGCTATTTTGATAATTAGACGGTAAGTAGAAGAGCCTTCGAGTAGTTTTCACCGGTTGAGTGTGTCAATTGCATGTGGTGTCGTAGACATACAGATATCACCTTAGGTAGCCATTTACGAGACTTGTTAGTTAATGCTTTATTCATAATTGGTTTGCATAGACATATAGTGAATCGTTTATGAATAATAGACTCATAATACACGCGACAGCGGGTTATGAGTAATTTAGTGTCTCGGGTTAATAATCATGAATCATATATTTCATAATTGAGGGGTTTTGGGTGAGCAATTCTTGCATAGGGGGAAGATAAATCCTAGGTCCGTTTTAATTGATATTTTCCCGTGTTATTTGCTTTCTTAATTAGTTTAGTTGTTTAATTGATTTAATTTGACAAACTTGCGTAGGCTGGATAAAAATCATAATTGTTAGAATTTGGTACTTATGATTAGGTAATTTGCGTATTCCCTGTGGGATCGACATCCGACTCTCACGAGTCCACTTTATTACTTGTTTGCGATACGTGCACTTGCGTGTTGGTATTTAGCACCCAACAAGTTTTTGGCGCCGTTGCCGGGGAATACGGCTAAATTATTTATTTATCATAATATCAAATTTGAGCAATTTTTTTTTACTTCAGCCATTTAATTTTAATTTTGATTTTTTTTTTTAATTTTTTTTTTTGTTTTTGTTTTTGTTACATGTCTGGTTACAATATTGGGGCACGTCAAACAGGATATGAATGGCTTTCATCTGACGAATACCTCCAAAACACCTATGATATGCCTCCGCTTTGTTCCGCATGTGGTGGAAATCATTATTCCGATCAATGTTGGGGATCACCAAAAGCGACAAATTTCGTCGAAATTACCAACATAAGTTATTGGAACACTTACACCAACACATACGAGCAAAGTTTTCAAGACCAAGATTTGAACGAGTTTCAACATAGAGAGCCACAATTTGATGATCTTCAAAATTATTATCCATTGCAGCAACAAACCACTAATGACCAACCTGATTTGGCATCCATCATTGGCGAATTCATGAAGTCCACTCAAGCATCATTTCGAAACATTGAGAATACAATTGGAAGAGATGACACTCAAATTAAAATCTGAGTCGCTTGAAAATATTCCAGACGAAATCGGCAATGGTTATATCAAAGAAAATTTGGGTGAAGTCTGCGGTGAGAAACAATTTCCATGTCCAGAAAATAGTGTCGATATGCGAGAAATAGAAATTACGAAGACACTTGAACATGATGAATCTGAGAAGGCAATCGAGCTAAACCACGAAGATACCTCAGAACAAGAGAAGAAGGAGATGGATGTAATGATTGAAGATATTCTAGTTGTGGACCATGTCGTTGATCTAAATGTGGATTTGAAGACATCAATAGTGGTCGATGAGAAAACTAATGTGTTTGAGGTGGAGGTTATACGTAGACTGGAGATTTTTGTATACCGATTTGAGGGAGCGGCCGATGAACATCCTATCTTGGCTTCGTACCGATTGATTACCACAAAAAAGGACTACAAGCTAACGTGTATCGTAACATATTGCAATGCTATCCATGCCTTGGTGGAAATTGAAGTGATAGAGCTCATGGGTGGATGCGCAATCTACAAGGCTTTGGATTGGACATAACAATTTCAAGAAGGAAAGTCTGGCTGAAGACTTAAAACTTAGCGCTTCTCGGGAGGCAACCCGAGCATTTATCGACTTTCGTATTTTTCTTTGTTTTTATTTTTCTTAGTATTTGTGCATGCGCAAACTAATAATTTAATCTTGTTATAATTTTCAGATCAAAAATCAAACACTATGGGATCGGACGTTAAAGGTCGAGCAAACGAACATCAAAGAGTGCATCCCTTGGAAGGACCTTCGACTAATCAGGTGTATTCTATCCTTGAACTTCGTGTTAATTACATTGAGGGCAATGTAAATTTTAAGTTTGGGGGTGGTAAATTACTTGTTTTTATGGGCTTTAATTTTTTAGTTTGCATGCCTTAGGATTTTTTTCTTATTATTTTAGTTGTTTTAGTTTATTTATTGCTTTAAAAAAAAAATGTGTTTGAGATAAATGCTTCGATGAATCATGATGATGAAAGATGGTTGATGTGTAATGATGAAATTTCTTGCTTTATCTTGATTGTGATTGAATTTTGGTGAGTTTTTGATTCAAAGTGTCGTAAGAAGGAGTCATTGTTAGGAATCTCGAATTATGCGTTGCTTTGGTTGAAAGTTTTGTGTTTTAAAATTTGAGTTAATTTATGTTATATCATATGCTATTCGGTTTTAGAACTTGTCTTATGAATTTACAAAGTGAAATATTAAATTGTTGAGCAATTTGGGAAGTGATTTGGGCCATCTTTGAACCGTTTGAGCCTTTCAAGCCTACCTTTAAATTTTTATCATTCGAACCTTGATTGAGCCTTGGAGAAACGGTGTTCTTTCTTTTAACCAATGTGTATAAGGTAGAATAAGTGGAGATTTTTGAAAAATTAAGGTCGAAATTTTTTTATAAGGTCCTTCTTCTTCTTTGAAAAAAAAAAATAAAAAAGAAAAAAAAAAGAAAAAATAAATAAATAAATAAAAAAAATAATAAAAAAGAGAAAGAAAAAGAAGAAGAAGAGACTAGAAGGGGAAGTAAGGACTAGTTGTTGAATTGTTTTGAAAGCTCGATCCATTGTCTTAAGAGCAAAAGTGGAGACTTTTGAACTCTTAAGAATCGAGTTAATTAAAGTCCGTAGAGGTGAATTCATTGTTTCAAACGCCTATCTTTCAAAATTTGGCGTAAAAAAACACCTCAATTCAAGAAGTATAGCCACCTATACCCATATCTCCTACCTCGAACCAAAAAGCCCAACATTTGAAAGCAAAAAAGTCCCAATGATCCCAATAGCTCAATTATTTGATACTAGCCGAGTAAAGAAATTTGGTGAGTATTTGGAGTTGAATATTAATATGTAAGTATAAATTTTCTCAATTTTTAATGTACAAATATGGGATACTTGAAGCGATAGCATAGTTTGTGGTTTTTAGCAATGGTGAGTGTATACATATCTTTGAATTACGAGCTTGTAAATTTTTGAGAATTTTCATGATAATTGCAAGTTCTGAAAAAAATGAAAGTTGACCATTAATCTATATGATGAGAGGCATTTGTTGAGAGTGTTGCTGTGAAAGTTGCTAGTTTTTGCTTGAGGACAACCAAAAGATCAAGTTTGGGGGTGTGTTAAGTGTATATTTTTATACTTTATCGTACCTTTTTATTTGAGCTTTTGGTGTGATTTAACGATAATTGGTGGTTAAAAAGTTGATTTATTGCATTTTAGGTATAAATTGAAGAATTGGAAAAGTTTGGGGTCAAAACTGCAAATTTGGAGAAAATATGGGCCAAAAGTGAAATAATCAAAAATATGCTGAAAATTGGCTGAAAACAGGCCCGCACGGCAGTGCCAAAATTAGCCTATTTTTGGCACGGCCGTGCCAAATGCTGAATTTGGGCAGAAGGTTTGGCGATTCTCGCGCGGCCGTGCGAGAATTGCACTGATTTTCGCGCGGCCGTGCCAACACCCGCGGGAGACAATTTTGGACTTTTAATCACATAAGGAAACCTAAAATCATCTACCAAGTTGGGACATCTATTTAAGCCCAAACCAAGCACGAATCAAAGAACTTTGGACACAACCTTGGAGCGAGAGGAGCGAGGGAACGAAGAATCGAAGACGAAGAATTGACAAATCTTCATCACAATTCTTCTTTCATCTATCTTTTCTTAATCTATTTCTTTTTATGTTTTTATGATGTTTTTCGTAGAGAACATGCGTAGCTAAGTTTTTAATCTAGGATTTTGTTGGAACCCTATGTAGGGATTGCGAACCCTTTTTCTTGAGATTATGCAATTATGATTTTATGATTATTTCTTCTACTTGTTATGATTGTTAGTGCATGAACTTGATCAATTTATGTGCTTTATCTGTGATTATTGGGATTGACTCGACAGAGCTATTTTGATAATTAGACGGTAAGTAGAAGAGCCTTCGAGTAGTTTTCACCGGATGAGTGTGTCAATTGCATGTAGTGTCGTAGACATACAGATATCACCTTAGGTAGCCATTTACGAGACTTGTTAGTTAATGCTTTATTCATAATTGGTTTGCATAGACATATAGTGAATCGTTTATGAATAATAGACTCATAATACACGCGACAGCGGGTTATGAGTAATTTAGTGTCTCGGGTTAATAATCATGAATCATATATTTCATAATTGAGGGGTTTTGGGTGAGCAATTCTTGCATAGGGGGAAGATAAAATCCTAGGTCCGTTTTAATTGATATTTTCCCGTGTTATTTGCTTTCTTAATTAGTTTAGTTGTTTAATTGATTTAATTTGACAAACTTGCGTAGGCTGGATAAAAATCATAATTGTTAGAATTTGGTACTTAGGATTAGGTAATTTGCGTATTCCCTGTGGGATCGACATTCGACTCTCACGAGTCCACTTTATTACTTGTTTGCGATACGTGCAGTTGCGTGTTGGTATTTAGCACCCAACAGTTTTGCTGCGGTGGTCTAGATTGTAAGGCAGTTGTGAGTTCATTTATTATTTGTTCTTGGTCTTGAACTTTGCTCCGGAGTTTAGCCTCGTTCTGCTTGTACAATTCCACTGATGTCATTAGATCAATCATCCCGAGGTCCTTTTCATCCATGGCAGTTAGTGGCAACTGCGAGAATTCTTCTCCATGGGTTGATTCTGGTCCCGTCTGAGTGGGAGAAAGGAGCGTGAACGATGGACAGTCATCCATTCGGGGGCTGCCATCTGGTGTATGGATGGTGTCGGTTCGGCTCGGTTTTTCTTTCTCTTCCATTTGAGCACGGAGATCGTTGTTAGACTGTTGTAACTCTTGATGCTGCTCTTTGAGGGTCTTCATATTGGCCTTGAGTTCATCCATTTGTTCGTTCAGCACCGCATTTGTTGCACCAAGAAGATCGTTGTCAGTTTTCAATTGGTAGTTCTCTGCCAATAAATCAATGGTTTTTACGATCTCATCCGTGAGTTGATCTTGCGTCTGTTGCAGCGTTGCTGCCGATGATGTTGGACTCAGTTTTTCCACCTCTGTTTTTCTTGCTAGCTGCTCATTGAGTATGTTGTTTTTTGCTTCCAAGTCTTCCGTCATTTTCTGGAACTGTAGCGCGGTCACAGTCATTGCAGCAAGGTCCGCGGACAGCTTGACGTTTTGCGCCTCCTTCTCCTTCAACTTTTTCATGAAGTTATCTGGAATCCTGTTTATCAATGCAGCAAGTGGTGTGTCTTCATCTAACATTTGATCCGATTCTGCATCCCTCTTGCGTTTGCCAATACGACTGTCAGCATTGCCCGCCTTGTCTTCCGTGTCTTCTTCCAAATCATAATCGACGTGCTCTTGATCCTGCATTGTATAGATTTGTGACTCTCTTTCCCTTATGATGAGCTCATGGTCGTCAATATCGGCGTCAAGTATGTCCCTGATAGCTAAGTTCTCAAGTTTATTGCCGAGGGTTGGGAGATGCCATTTTCGGAACCTTGGGAATGCATTTGGTTGTAAAGGCTCAATCAGTTTAATCCTCTCACAAATCCAGAACTACAAAAAGAAAGATTATATTAGTAAATATCTTAATCAGCTATTTTATAAACAATTTACATAGTCGGCTAAATGCAAATGTGTAATTTTTCGTACCTGTAACAGTGTGGTGCATCCCTTAACTTGCGTTACTTTTTCTTTATTTTGGACATAGTCAATAAGGAAATCAACTATGCACTCCCCCCAATTGTAAACCGCCATTGCATCGATGTCTTCGCATAAATGGAAGATCCACCAATTAACGAGCTCGCCAGCTGTCGCAAAGAAGCATGTTGCGAGGACGTGCAGGATGACCATGCGTACAACATCTTCAATGTCTTCATGTTCGGTGCTCCGAAGATACTTGAGGAGTTCAATCTTCACGTTGTACAAGTTTAGCCTGTCGTGATCATGGAATTTACGCACAGCAAGTCCAAAATCTGGTTTTGCGGCTCGTTTGGTAATGATGTTTGTTGCGCCAGATTTGATTCCGAATATTAAATCGCATTCATTTGGCGTAATAATCAACTTTTTACCCCCAATTACGAATGCTTTTTTTGCCTTGTCGTACAACAGCAGTAGTTTTGCAACCCCCTTCTGCGTGCATGTGACTTGGTGTAACGATACCTTCTTGAGGGCAAATGGCAAGATGAGGCGGTAGAAAGGGGTGCGCTTAAGGCAATCGAGATGCTCCTTTCGGAGATCGATACCTTTGAAGAAGTCTACCGTTGATTGCAGACTTGAACGGTACTGCCTCGTCCAAGAGCCCTCCTTGAGTAAACGGTCTACCAATAAATTTGCTTCATCTGCAAACAAAAAATGATGTTGTTAGAATATCAGATAACAGAAGAGTTGTCAATATAAAATTTAAGTCGTATATCAAATTACACTAATCTACTATGATATAGGTGTAGTCTGCTCAGCACATATACATCAATATGTCTTCTAGCAAGCTAGTTAATCGACTATACAAATAACACACTAATCGACTATGATATAATCATAGTTTTATCAGCACACATACTTCAATCGTAGCTTATGACTAGACGGCTAGTAAATCAACTATACACAGCACACACCAATCGACTATTATATAACCTCGTTATTATCAGCATACAGCCAGGCAAATCACACACTAATCGACTATCAACATTTTCAAATTTTTAAGGGGGTTTCTTACCAGCATCAAGTTCCCGTATATCTCTTTTAGCTTTCTTCTTACTTTCGCCTGTATAAAAAGAGAAAAAATGGCGTCATGGACAGCAAATTTAGGTTAAATAGTTGAATAAAATGTAGAAGCCTGATAATCACTTACGGCTTGATTTTCCTTTAGTCGTCATTCTCTTTTTTTGTTTCGATTTTTTGTTTCGCGTTGATGCAGATGCGGGAGCCGGAACCCTAATCGACTCCAGAGACGTCGTTTCAAGGAAATGGTGATCGGAGAAGGCGACTACGACGAAGGGAGAAAGCGTGGGGCAGGGCGGTTCTTGGGGGAGAGGAGACGGGGGTTCTTCGCAGTACTATGGTTGCGGAACCCTGGGTAGTCGACAGCGGCGGCGTTGTTCCTGGTTATATCGAAGCCGGAACTCTAATCGGTTGCAGAGACGTCATTTTCCTTGAAATGGCGGTGGGAGAAGACGATTACGGCGGAGGGAGGTAGCGTACGGTGGGGGCAGTTTCTGGGGGAGGAAGACAGGGGAGGGTTTGTTTTTGCAGTTTTCTGATTTTTGATTTTTTCACGTTTTTGCAGGAGCGGGAGATAGGGTAATGAGGTTCCAGGGGCAAAATTGGATAATAGGTGGCTAAAATTGGGACATAGGCTTTTCTCAAATGGTCTAAAATATTTTGGGCCTACCTCTATTAAAAAAAGTAATGGGGGGTTATGTCAAAGAGCCCCAAAATTTAAAGTGGACCATCTAAGTTTCCTTTTTTTTATTATTATTATAAGTTAATTATAAATAATGATCTAAAATTTATTTATTAAATTTTATTATTATATATTATAATTTCATTGTTACTAATAATAGAAAAGTTCGTGAGCTGAAAAACAGCTTCGAGCTCGAACTATTATCCAGTCGGTTCATTGACTCACGAAGTCGGTTCGGATCATTTACATTACATACAACCACTAGTATGTCATGAATGGTGTAATGAAGTTTAGTGTCAATTTAAGACCATGGGTTTGTCGAAGATTACTATCAATTGATATAAATACAGTGCCAATTTCGAACAATTTTCAGAAGTCCAATCACTATCGTGTTTTTTGAAATAATGATTTAATTTCTAAAATCAATTTAAAGGACTACAAATTTGATGCTTCGACTATTCACAAAATTGAATTTAAAAATGGTCAAAATCCCATTTAAATTCAATACAGTACTTGTAAGACTGAAATATTATTTAGCACCTCCCAAATTAAGAGAAACTTCAATATATACTACACTATTCGAAAAATAATGTAATGTATTTAGTAAGTCATTAAAAATGCAAATAGCAATTAATAATAATAACAAACTGCCAGCATATATGCAGTAGGAATTCTTATACACCGAATGTTTGGTAACCGTAGATTTGCACATAAACACACACACAATTATGTATGTGTGCTTAATTATATGGATGGTTATTTAACCTCATTTACGGTTAACAAGCATTCGGTGTAGTATATAACTCCGCGGGGGTTTATCCATCAATACACATGAATACTAGCTAGATCAACCTAATTCATTTCAATTCATGCATGCACGTTTACAGGAAAATAAATATAATTCAGTTAAACATAGATTGGGCAACCCCATTGATTGTACTTAACAAAATTAAAACAGGTTTAATTTAGCAAGTTTCAGACCAAAACAAAAGAACAAATCTTTTACAACTCAGTACACCACACCATAAGCACAAAATTAACCTAAAAAACATTATAAAATCCAACTCTAGCATATTGCATATATGCATGCATGCTAGATCTTCTTCTCACAATTATAACTCTTTTCTTTCTCATGCTTCATTATCACCGTCTGCAGTACTCTTCTTCACGATTACACTGTCTTCTTCTTTCTGCGCCATAGCTTTAAATCCCGGACAGCTGTAACTAGGGTCGTCTTTCGGTATCTTCTTCTTCTGAGTTTTGTTTCTCGCCTTCGACTTGCTTGGCCGCCTTGACGGGTTATTTGGAGCCTCGAGAGCCAACACGACAATTCGGTGTTTGGCTTCTGCATTCGGAGGCGGCGCCGCACTTTGGTCAGTACTTTCAACACGATCTTGCAAATCCATACGTTGTAGCTTCACCTCCATGTGTTCTCTTGCTTCCTGCAATTGCAATCAAATACCAAAAATCAAATATTAATTCTTTCAAATTTATATATAATTCACACAAATGCATCATATAAGGATATATATATCTTAATATATAGGCAACAAATGTAATTGTCTAATTGATGCATCCATTTTCAAAGATGATTTTTGGTTTTCAAGTTATACAATTGGTTAATAAGAAAGGGTTTTTTTTTTTTTTTTTTTTGTTGAAAATACTATTCACGCACATGATTTTAACGAGAGAAAAATCGGTCTCTATGTTTTTTTTTTCTATTCTCTATATGTTCTTCAATTCCGGAAGAGATTAAAGAGTTTTTTTCCTCGATTTAATCTTGGAATTGAATTTTAACTTAAAATTAGAATTCACTTAGATATGCCCACTATAATAATTAAGAAGATTATCAATCCGGGGTATATAGTAGAAGATCAATGATTTTGGAGTTATGTTGTCAACGTGTTTCATGACCGTGTTTCGTCGCGTTCATCGTTTCCGAATCCGACAATACGATATCTTACATTTGAGAATTAGCACACAATGTTAGGATCATATCTAAATCCTTGTGGAAGTCTAGATTTAATGTTCACATTAATTTTAGGATTAACACGTGTTCAGAAAATTTAAATATAAATCCATTGCGAATTTATCATGATCACTAGAGAATGGGATCCGGTTCCCATGACCAACAAGGCATGCAATCCCGAGACGGGTTGGGTAAAGCTCAACATGGACGATGCATTCCCGGCTTCCTTTAATGTGTGGATATTGTTAGCCACGTCATTCGAGGTCATAGACTAAGGTCATTATGATGCCCCCAAATAGTTTGCTTGTTGAGCTCACCGCGCTGGATTGGGGCCGAGACCATATTCAGAGATTGGATTTTGCAAGCGTTTTGAATCGCGTGAGCTTGATGCGCTCCTTATTGTTAAGTTGTTTTCATCCCTTGTCACCGACCATTGGATGTTACAATTTGTTCTCACCTCCACCAAACAAAGGCTTTCAACTATATATTTAGTTATGTATTTCTCATACGCATCGGGAGGGCAACTATGTCGCTGATGTCTTGGCTACTTTGGGTGCCTAGAACCAAATGGCCCCGACCTTTACACCATATTTGCTTCCCAACGAAACATTATTATATACAATCTACTCAAGATTGTATTCCCAGTATATAGTACTTTTCAAATTTGGTACCATCTCTTATGTTTCATGTGTGCTTTTTGAACTTGCAACGAGAAAAATCTTTCGCAAGTTAGCATCCCGTTAAAAAGTTGGACAATTTTGAATATTTTTTCGCGCAAATCATGTCTAATAAGTAAACAATCATCGCAATTTGTTTACTTTTTGGTGAGATTTTCAGTTAAATACATAGAAAAGATGAAAGTCGTCTCAATGCTTATTAGGCGGATATGCGATGCTCGATCAGACATTCAAATAGAATGTTACTTCTAGTGATTGAGACATGCATTGCATTTAGGTTGGTCATAGTACTCCAAAAGTGCATCAAAGGTGTGTATTATTTTCTAGGCACACTTGCAATAAGAGGTGAAGAAGGCGCAAC